GCCATCCCTGTTGCACTCTACTAGCTACAAATTGCTATTCTGAAAATTCCCCCTTATCCCAATTGTCTTCTATTAGTTAGCCAGTCTTCTATCCATACAATATACTCCAACACCTTGGGCTCTTAAACTTGAGGTATCATCCATTAGGCTACGTATCAAATCCCTTCTAAAAACATAACATCCGTTGTTCCCCTTTATCTATTCTGCTTGTTACCCCTTCAGAATTCGAGTAAATTTGTCAGGCATGATTTCTCTTTCATGAAGCCATATTTACTCTGCTTGATCATATTGTACATCCCTAAATGCTGTGCTATTGCTTCCTTTCATGATAAAATCAGAAGTCACATGACACCAGGTTATAGTCCAACAGGTTTATTTGAAATCTTCAGCTTTCAAAGCGCTGCCCCTTTGTTAGGTGAAATGAGGAGGAGAAGACAGGCAGGCACTGAATTTATAATCCGAGATCAAAAGATCATACAAATGGTGTGAGTGGAGTGTCAACAGGCTGAATAATAAGTCCCTGGTGATCAAGAGTGTCAGACGCTGTGAGTAAAGTGTTAACGGCTGAATGATAAGTGAAGGATGACTTACAATCCGATTAATTAAGGCAGAGAGATAATTACAAAAAATTTAAAATAAGGAGGTGCTGGAGACCACTCAAATGACTGGAATAACATGACAGGTAGAAGAGTCGCATGCCGAGGGCCTAATCAAGGTAACCAGTAATCCAAAATTGCATAAACTAATTGAAGATAGAGCACTCATAACAAGTTATCAAGGTGATATTATAAAAATGGGACAGTAAGGGAGATTTTACAAATGCAGAACAGTATGGTGAGGTTACATGTAGTGTGACATGAACCTAAGATCACAGTTGAAACCATCTTCGGGGTGTACAGCACTTGGCTATCCGTTTCTGCTCGGCAACTCTGCATTATTGTACATCCCTAAGGCCACCTTGGAGGACACTTACCTGAAGATCGGAGGCTGAATGTTTTGTCTGCTGAAGTATTCCCCGACTGGAAGGGAACATTCCTGCCTGGTGATTGTTGCATGGTATCCATTCATCCATTGTCGTAACGTCTGCAAACTGCCTGTTTTGACACCATCACCTTGATAATTTATGATCTCTCTACCATAATTAGTTTGTACAGTTTTGGATTACTTGTTACTTTGTTTAGACTGTTGGCATGCAGCTCTTATACCTATCGTGTTATTTCAGTCATTTGATTTGCCTCCAGCTTATTTTTATTTGTTCTGTAATTATCTCTCTGCCTCATTTAATCGGATTGTAGGTCATCCCTTCATTTTTTGTTCAGCTGTTAACGCTTTACTCACACCGTCTGACACTCTTGATCACCTGTGAAGACTTATTATTCAGCCCATTGACAATCCACTTGCACCATTTGTATGATCTTTTGATCTCTGCTTGTGTGTCTTCTCACTTCACCTGATGAAGGGGCAGCATTTTGAAAACTTGTGATTTCAAATAAACCTGTTGGACTATAACCTGGTGTCGTGTGACTTCTGACTCTGTCCACCCCAGTCCAACAGCAGTACCTAACAACATTTCCCCAATAACAGACAGTAAGCTAACTGGCCCATAGTTACCTGTGTCTTTTTTGTCTCTTTTGTCTCCTTTTCCTTTTTAAATGATGTTACATTGGCAGTTTTCCAAACCTCTGGGACTTTTCCAGAATTTAAGGCTTCTAGGACGATTACTACCAGTGTCGCCTCTATCTCCAGCTATTTCCTTTAATATCCTATGATGCATCTTTTGTGTCCAGCTGAATTATTGATCTGGAAGCTCATTGGTTTTCTTAGCATTTTTTTCTGTAGTAATGACTGTTGTCTTTATTTCCTTTTCTCCTTGATTATTTGATAATTTTGGAATGCAATTAGTGTCTTCTACTTCTACAGCCTAGGCATATTTTTACTTTGCTTCTCTCTTTTTACATATTGAAGCAAGCTCTTTTGTCTTTCTTGATGTTACCTGCAATTTTACCATCAAAGTTTATTTACTCTCTCTTTTTGGTCATGTTTTGTTTGTCTTTGAAACTTTCCTAATCCCCTGTCTTACCACTAGTCATTGCCACATTGTTCAATTTGATGTTATCCTTAACTTTCCTCATTTAACCTTGGTTAGTTGGCTTATCCCCTGCCTAGAATCCTTTGTCTTCTCTGGAATACATCTTTGCTGAGAGCCATGAACTAATTTCTTAAATGTCTGCCATTGTTCCTCAACTGTCTTTTGCTGTTAAATTCCTTTCACAATCTATTCCAGCCAGCATTGCCCTCATTCCTTTGTAATTACCCTTTTTAAGCTTAGCACAATTAGTCCTGACCCTGATCACAGACCAATTTTGAATTCCTAGTCGGAAGGAGTAAGATTTTGCCCTCCTGAGCAAAGGGTCCAGGTAATTTTCCTCTTCCCTCATTGCAGTGTAATGTCTGCAGTTCAGACTCCAGCTCCTGAATATGGATCCAAAGTGCCTTGAGCTGCAAACACTTCCAACATTGGTGTCCAGCAGCAACATATCATCTGTCCTCCCATCACTTTGGTATTTGATTTCACTTATAAATTAATTACTTGAGATTCCCTGCTCTTTATATTTTAATATTTCATTTTTATAAGCCAAAAAAAAAGCAAAAATCACCAGTATTAATCTACTACTTGAGCAGTTCTTTTTAAGAAACGAGAAGAGATGACACTGGAGACCTAAACACAAACTGAAGACTTTCACTTCAAAAGCTAGAAATATTCACCAATCAGAGATAGTAAGAACTGCCGATGCTGGAGTCTGAGACAACACAGTGCGGAACTGGAGGAGCACAGCAGGCCAGGCAGCATCAGAGGAGCAGGAAAGTTGACGTTTCGGGTTGGGACTCTTCTTCAGAAAAAGGGCCTTTTCTGAAAAAGGGTTCCAACTCGAAACGTCAACATTCCTGCTCCTCTGATGCTGCCTGGCCTGCTGTGCTCCTCCAGCTCCGCACTGTTACTACTCACCAATCAGCTTCTTTTCTTCCACTTGTGTCATGCTGTAGTTTGTGATGTCACTCTGTCAGCTGCCTCCTTGATCCACACCTTTCTTATGCTCTCCCACTCACCCCACATTCTGAGGAGTTTACTAATTGCAATAAACCTTAGTTAAAGCTCCTCCACCCACCCCCCACTTTGACCTAATTCCCACTTGGAACCAAATTTTCAATAGTATCGTCAGTATTTCACTAGGCATTTGTTTCATTCTGCTGAAGTTTTCTCACACTGATCATGCTCCTTTATTGACTGCTGTGACTGACTTCCCTTTTCTTATAAAGGTCTCTTCAGAAAAACATGTTTCCCTACAATAATCGACACCTTGTGTGCTTGAAATCTAACAGGGTCAGGCAGCTACCTCCTTTTTAATTTTAATTTTTAAATTTAATTATTTTTTAAATTCCATTTTACTTTTTAAAAAGCTACTGTCCTAATCTGATGTTAACTCTTAAAATTGAATTTGAAAAGGATATATCAGTTGAATTTCCACTTTGGACCAAACTTCCAACAGTATAGCTAGTAACTCACTCAGCCCTTGGTGTCTCTGTGCTGTGGTCTCGTGCACACTGACTTGCTCCTTACATTTGCACCAGTTCTCAAAATCCCAAATATGATCTTGTTTGATTTTATGTCTCACGAGAACTCTGTACAACTGAAGCACTACTTCCCTACTTTTGTACACTCCTACTCGCTTGTTGTGCCTGCATACCTGCATTTTGTGATTCATGAATGAGAACAACTGCAGTTTCTCTCCATTTAAGTAGTGTGCTACTTTTGTATACTTCGTTCCAAAATGGGCAACTTCATATTTTGCCATGTAATTGTCATGCTGTCACATTTTGCCCACTCTTAACCTGTCTAAATCCCTCTTAGACCCTATATATCTTTTAGACAGCTTGTTTTCCTACCTATGTTTGTGCCATTAGTAAATTTTAGCCAGTTTACGTTTGAGTCTTTCAGCCAATTGATCAGAATAGGCTGTAAATAGTTAAGGCCCTAGCACTGATTTCTCTGGTAGTACAGAAGTTGCAGCTTGTCAACTTGAATGTTTCCTGTACCAATCCTTGATTCATGCTAATGCTGCAGCCAGCACCTTGACCGCTATGAAGTATTTTATGAAGTAACCTTTGTGACACCCTGTCAAGTGCCTTTTGGAAATCCACATATTCACATGTATAGGTTTTGCTTTGTACAGCTTGCTTGTTACTTCCTCGAAGTAACTGAAATAAATTAGTGGAACGCTATTTTACTCTTACAAAACCATGTTGACTCTCAATATTTTCTGAATGTTCCCACTATTAACTCCTTCATAGTGGTATCTTGCATTTCCCAATTACAGATTTTAGGCTAACTATCCTGTAATTTCCTTCCTACTGCTGTCTTCCTTTTATTGAATCCAAGTGTCACGTATGCAATTTTCCAATTAGGTGGGACTTTTCAGGAATCTATAGAATTCTAGAAGATAGTAGGCAGTGCATCAATGATCTCTGCAGCCATTTTTTGTTTAATACTACAGGGCATAAGGACTTATCAGATTTGTTTCCATTGTTACTTCCTGCCTTTGTACCTCCTTGATTTTCTTTTATTACTGTGTTGTTTTGGTTTCCTACAGTGAAGATGAGTACACATACCTATCCAGTGCTTCTGCTATTTCCTCCTCATTGATTCCCCAGTATTCTGACTGCAGCTGATTTGGGATCCGACTTGCTGAGAATTAGAGGGAATCCTAGCCTGATGGATCATGAGTTTAATTATTGCAGCTGATTACCATGGTTAACCACTGAAACATTCACACAAGGCTGTAAAATAACTGAACGTCATTTTATCACGAAATGCAGATGTAAAAGTCGGCTTAGAAAGATCTCAAAATAAACAGCAAAGTAATAATTCAACTTGTATCCTTTCACTATCCTTTTTAAAAAAGAGTACGCTATCCCAGGTTAAATATAAATGTTTTCATCAGGTACAAGCACTAACTAAAGAACTCCAAATGGTGGCCTCTCAACATATGAAGAGTGAGAACCAAGGACTCGAGGTTCATGATTCCAATAAGCAAGACACAGAATTACAAGAAAAATTTTTCAACCAGCGTCTCCAACAGCTCGAGGATGAGAAATCAGCCTTAGTGAAGGAGAAGGACGATCTCCAGGCAATTCTGGAAAGTGTCAAAATAGAAAAGGATGCAATGAAGAGTGCCATGCAAGGAAAAACTGAGATGGTGAGTTCATCTTTTTAAGAACATGAAGTCAACTTGAATGGTTGGCCAGAGTTTGCTGAGAAAGTAATATCTGAATTATACCAGCATAAGAGCGCAAATTGACCAGCCTGTAATGAGAGGAGCTCAATGAATCATAAAATGTTACTGACTTGTTTACACATCATTTTACTTGAGGGGAACTGGCATCTTTCAATTGATCTATCTGTGATTTTTTAGTCATCTTAATAATCCATTAAATCCTCAATTCTATTAAGATGCAAGTACCTGTTTAATGATATGACTGCCAAGATGGTGAATGTTTATACAAGTAGTCTCTCATTCCATCAGCTTGTGGATTGTTTTGAGATTTATAAGTTCATAATTTCTTCTTTTCAGTCTGTCTTAACCCAGTCATTTTCTTTCTCCTCTTAAACGGATACTGAATTTTTCTCCTTTTTAATAGAGAAACACAAAATAGGAATGGAAGTAGGCCATTTGGCCTTTGGAGTCTGTTCTGCTATTTGATAAGATCATGGCTGGTCATCCAACTCAATAGCCTATTTCTGCTCTACAAACTACTGACCCCTCCTCCCCCGCAAACATATTCTTTGATCCCTTCATCCCTAAATGCTATGTCCAACTCTTCTTGAAATCATAATGTTTTAGCCTTGATAGCTCTCTGTAGTAGTAAGTTCCACAGACTCTCTGCTCTGGGTGAAGAAATTTCACCTCTTCATGTCCTTAGAATGTAACCCCAGTTCTGAACTCCCTTACCATCAGAAACATTCTTCCTGCATCTACCTTGTCTAGTCCTGCCAGAATTGCATAGGTTTTTGCAATCCCAACCCACACCCCTATTTTCCTGAACTCTAGCAAATATAGTCCAAACAAATTCAATCTCTCCTCATAAGTCAGTCTTGCCATTCCAGAAATCAGTCCAGCAAAACCTTCATTACACTCCACCCATAGCAAGAACATCCTTTGTCAGATAAGGAGACCAAAACAGAACACAATATTCCAGGTCTCACTGAAGCCCTGCAAGCCATCCCTGCTCCTGTACTTTAATCCTGTTGCTATGAAGGCCAACATACCAATGGCCACCTGCTCACCTGCATGCTTACCTTCAATGACTGGTGTATAAGGGCACCCACATCATTTTGCATATTCTCCCCTTTCAATTTATAGCCATTCAGATAATCTGCTTTCCTGTTTTTTGCTTCCAAAGTGGATGGCTTCACATTTATTCAAGCTGTACTGTATCTGCCATGCACTTGCGCAGTCACTCAACTGAAGCATCTCTACAACCTCCTCACAGCTGACCGTCCCATCCACCTTCTCAACCCTATTTATTTATTTCTAATTCTTTAAAACAATAATTAGTGTGAAAGATGGTTTGTCATATTGTTTACCCGGATACCAGAGACCCTCTGTCCTTCATTTGAGTTCAGTGGTTAACACTGCTGCCTCGCCTGGGACCTGGGTTCAATTCCAACCTCGGGTGACTGTCTGTACAAATTCTGCACATTCTCCCCATGTCTGCGAGGGTTTCCTCTGAGTGCTCTGGTTTCCTCCCACTGTCCAAAGACGTGCAAGTTGGGTGGATTGGCCATGCTAAATTGCCCTGTAGTGTCCAAGAAGTGCAGGTTAGGTGCAACAACCATGGGGAATGTAGAGTTACAGGGATGGGGTGGGATGTTTTTCTGGAGGGTTGGTGTGGACTCAATGGGCCAAATGGCCTGCTTCCACACTGTAAGGATTCTATGAAAAGCCCAAACTTGTAGAAACAAGACTGACTAATGAAAGTGCGCCATGAAATACTTGCTTGAAAAAGAATCTGACCCAGTATAATCCTTGGAACCTAACTGAATTAATGAAGCAGATTTTTAGAAAGATAACGTTTGCTTTGTACTGTACTTTCCTTTGAATATGTGTAGAAAGACTTTCTCAAGTTATGCTCCTAATAGTACAGTTACATTTTGTAGTTTTTGAACATTCTATTAGATACAAGAGAGAAGCAAGGAACGGCACTGTGTGATATCTCAACATGATATACTGCCCACTGAGAGTGAAGAACTTAGAGATCAAGTTTCTAAAGAGTCGAGTGCAGAGATGCAAGAAGACAAAATCAACTGGCAGCTCCAACAACTAAAGGATGAAAATTCTTCAATACTAAAGCAGAAGGATGATCTCCAGGTGATGCTGGAGAGTGTCACAGTGCAAAGAGATGAAATGAAGAGTGCACTAAAGGAAAAATCAGCGAGGGTCAGTTTGTTTATTTTTAATATCCTAGATTATTAAATTGTAATATTGATTAAACAAGGACCATGTATCCTTGTATGGTCTGCATTTTAAATGCAGATTTATTGCAGAGCATCTATTGTGAACAGTATAACCTCATGAAATGTGGAGGAAGATCTTGAGTGCATCTTTTGTAATAATAGTTATGCCTGTAATTCTTCCTACTAGATGCATGAACAAACTGAAGAACTGCAACGTGTCGCGTCTCAACATGATATGCTGCTTGGTGAAATTGAAGAGCTGAGAGCCCCTGGTTCCAAAGAACAAGAAGCAAAAATTGAGAATGAAGTTAATCAGAGGCTCCAGCAACTTGAGAATGAACATTCATTGATACGAAAAGAAAAGGATAATCTCCAGGAGACATTAGAGTGCGTCAAAGAAGAACGGAATGAAATGAAGAGCACATTACAGGAAATTACGGAGAAGGTGAGTTATTAATTCTTCTCCGAGGCAAATATGCTATTTATTCTGAAAGGCTCCTTGTACCTCTCTGAATTTTATTCACATTAGTATGCAGTGTTTTCTAGTGTATTCTGTCTAACCTCCTGAAAATATACAGATACCTTAGAAATGTATGTATCTGTCAACACAGCTCTATCTGTAATTGATTAATGTTTCTATTAGATACAGGAACAAACTAAGGAACTCCACCAAGTAGTGTCTCAGCGAGATGTGCTATTTGGTGTGATTGAAGAGCTGAGAGCCTCTATTTCCAAAGAACAGAAAGCTGAAATTCAGGAGAAGGAATTCATTGAGAGGCTTCAGCAGCTCAAGATTGAAAAAGCAACCATCGCAAAGGAGAACAATGATCTTCAGGCAATGCTGGAGAGTGTAAAATTGCAAAGGGATGAAATTAAGAACACCTTACAAGAAAACACTGAAAAGGTGAGTTGATTTTTATTAAAATAACTTAGGATAAATATAGTGGGTCAGATTTTTCTGAAAAGATAATGCCATCTGAATGGCATGTGATTATTGATTGCATAAATTAATTTGTAACCTCAGTGACAAGGAGGTCTATGAATGACAAATCACCAGAAGTTTGTCTCATTTATGCAGCTTTGCATTTTGCTTTTGGTTACGGCAGTTTGCGATTAATCTTCCTGTGAATTGCGTTGAGTTGCAGCATTTGCACTTTAGTTGTCAATTATTCCAATAATTAGCAGCACAAGAACCCTTTTATAGATTATTATTGTTATTGGTTGTCTCATTACTCAGAAAATGGAACCATTTACTTTGGTGTCCAATTAATTCAGTTAATCACTGGATTTAAAATATTATTTTTAAATTATTTTCCTTTTGTCTTTTTGTTTTACATTGTTGATTCATTCTTTTCTTTATACCTGATTTGAAATGGAGATGAATTAAAAGTCACACTCTCAACTCTGAAATCCTCTTGATTTAAGAGATTTGAATTATTTGAGCTATTCTTTATCAAGGTGTCAGAAACCTGTTTCTCTTGCTTTGCCTTCACCTATTCATAATACAACAGTCTTGCAGATGAAACATTGTATTATCTAAATATATACAAGCAGGTTTAACAGGGCAAGATGTGCAATCTTGCTCCAGCAAAATCTGATCCAAAATCATCTCATTTATTCATGTTTGAACTTTTGTTGGAGTACATCTTCCACTAGGTAGAGTGCAGTCTTGTGAAAATGTGGAGGAAGACTTTATGATGGTATGCATCCAGCTGTAATGGTTTCAGTTGTAATTTTTACAGTTTCTGTTGGATTCAGGAGCAAGCTACATTGTGCATCTGGCAGTGCAGTATGATTTCATATGTATTTTTGATGCTTCTCTTAGATGCGAGAGCAAAGTGAGAAACTGCACCGTGTGGTAGCTCAGCGTGATGCGCTGCTTGGTGAAATTGATCAGCTGAGAGCTCATGTTTCCAAAGAGCAGTCCACAGAAAATCTAGGAGAGAAATTTAACCAATATCTCCAACAACTTGAGGATGAAAAATTAAATGTAATAAAGGAGAAGGAGGACATCCAGGAGTTACTGGAGCGTGTCAAATCACAGAGCAATGAAATGATGAGTACTTTACAAGGAAACACTGAGGCAGTGAGTCATAAATTTGCATCTATGGAAGAAATATGATTTTATTATGAAGGGGAGCATTTAAATTGAATAAACTTATTAACCAATTTTACAACACATTTGCTTTGTGTACAGGATAAACTCTTGAAAACATGGGGAATATTACAATGGTATGCATCTAATAGTACGGATTTCATTTATAATTTTTAATGTTTGTTAGATTCGGGAGCAAACGAAAGAACTGCGTCGTGTAGTGTCTCATCGGGATGAGTTACTTGGTGAGATTGAACAGTTGAGAGCTTGTGTTTCCAAGGAACAAGCAGTTAAAATTGAGGAGAAGGAGTTGAATCAGAGGCTTCAGCAATTTGACAATGAAAAATCAATCATCATGAAGGAAAAGTGTGATCTTGAAGAGACATTAAAAAGTGTCAAAGTACAGAGAGATGAAATGAAGAGGACCTTGGAAGAAAACCATCACATGGTGAGGAACAAAAACAAACTCAGAATTGCAAACTATTTTATCTTTTTCTGTTGTTACAAAATTGCAATTTTTATTCTTTCGTGTGATGGGAATATTGCTAGAAACGCCAATGTTTGCCCATTCAAAATTGCCCTGAGAAGGTGATATTGATTAGTAAGTGATATTGATTATTGAACTCAATGCGGTTCTTCTGCAAGTATAGCCACAGTGCTATTAGAAAAGGAGATTCAGAATTTTGATCCAGCAACGTTGCGGTAACAGTGAAGTTACAAGTCAGGATATTAAGTGTTTTGGAGGAGAACTTTGCAGATGTTAGTGGTCCCATGCACCTGCCTGATTCCTTCTGGACATTAGAAGTCAGAGAAGAACACCTGCAATGTCAACCATCATCGAGATTTTGAATTATATTGTTGATCATTCAATGTTGTCCTAAAATTCTGGAACTCTCTTCCCCTCAGCACTGAGTGTACTGTCATCGTAGTCTTCAGAGGTTCAAAATGCAGCTCACTACCAACTTTCTGAATAAAATTGGAATGGGCAATAAATGCTGGCCATGCCAGGACACCCACGTACCAAGAAATATTGAAAATAAATACAACTATCTTCCATTGTGCTAGGCGTGACTCCAGTAAGTGCAGTGAATTCCCTCAATTTACTACAGACTTCAATTTTGTCAGAGTTACTTGATGCCGCACTCAGTTAAGTGCTGTTTTTATTTTGTGGGTGATCGCTGTTGCCTCACCTCCTGGAATTGAGTTGGACAGAGTTTAGGGACAGACGAGCTGAGTTGCTGTAGAATCCCCAGCCTCTGACTCGGTCTCGTAGCCACCTTAGTTACATAGCTTATTGACATACATTTCTGGTCAATTGTAATTCCCCAGTTGTTGATGGTAGGAAGTCAGCAATGGCAATGCCTTTGAATGTCATGGAGAGATGGCTTGATTTGTTGTTAATGGGGATAGTTGTTGCCTGGTGCTTGTGTGATAAGCCTCAATGTAATCTATTGATGCCAGTTTTGCAACCGTAATGGAACAATTTGACTATGGGGTGTGGCTCATTCTGGAACACATCTTAAATACTGCTGCCAGGATGTTGTCAAGGTGCAAAGGCTTTGTTGTACCCAGCGTATCCAACTAGGTACAGCTGAATGTAATGGCAGTTAGTGACGTTATGGGTACTGAGATTACAGTTTGTGCTTGAATAAAATTCTACTAGTAATGACCTGCAGTATCACAAGTGCCCAGATTTGAGCTTCTAGATATGTTCTGAATTTATCCCATCAAACGGAGTTTTTGCCATATAGCACAGTGAAGGTTTTCAGTGTGAAGCACAGGCACGGGTACTCTGCGGTCATTACTCTTACACTGTTTCAGACAGTTGCATCTAAAATAAGGATGAGGTTGCATAGATTTTATCCTTGTCATGGGACATTTTGACAGATCTTTTCTTCAAGACTTGGCCAACTAGATTAGCAGTGATACGACGGAACCACAATTGGTGAAGCCCCCAACTGAGAACAGGTTTTGTTTCCTTTAGTGATTCCTTCGCTGGAGAAGGCGGTTCATGATGATCAACAGTAAGTTTCTTGTCCACGTTTGAGACATCATGAGATTCCTGTTTTTGGGTAAATGTTAATGACTTCCCAGGGATATTCCCTTTTGACTGTATACCACTCAGACTCCAGAGGTGGCAGCTATGTTCCGTCTTACTGACTGGATACGTTGGAGGATGGTAGTGGAGGATGCTGGGACATTTGCATGGTTAGCAGGCTGTTGCTTGATTAGCCCATGATTAGGATTAGTTCTTCAAACTTTGTAACATGTTCTCACACATTGGTGAGGAGGAATTTGATAAAGTGGTCGCACTGTGCCATTGTTCTTTCCTGTCACTTTTTTTTAATGCCAAGCTGCCTATTCTTTGACTTTTCTGCATCACTTTGCTACAGCTACAAAGTTTCAGAAACCAGCTAGGAATCAATTCTATTTCTGTAGGTTTGGAATTGCATGAAGACCAAACTTGGTAAGAATGGCAACTGATTTCCTGCTCAAGAGGACAGTAGTGAGCTAGATTTATTTGTAGTTTTGTTAGTAGCTATTTTTTAGCAATTCATGGAGTTTAGATTCCACAGCTGTCTTGATAGAGTTTAGATTCTGCTTTCTGAATTACTAACAAAATAATATTATACTGTTATGCTTTTGGTCCAACCTGCCAGTCCCCGCCTTCTAACTAATTTGTATGTCATGTTGAAATTTTGTTGTAAACTTTGAGAAAAGCACAAGTCTCCGTAAAAGAGCCTCAGTTGTATGGCCCAGCATATAAATACAAATATGGTAATGTGTGTTATGTAGAAGGGCCTACCTCTTCTTCCTGAGGTGCTCATCATTGTTCATGTCCATGTCATTTTTTAAATCATTCCATATGTTAGAAACAGCAGAGGCTATGGCCTCTTAACAACATGCTGACTGCAATACCGCAGTCTTGTGTACTGGAACCAGTATTTCCCAAATCTTTCATCCCAGAGCTGATTTGACATTGTCAGCTCCAAGAATTATGGAGAATTAGCTCAGATATCTCTTGCCAAAAAGAGGCAGAATTTGGCCATTTAAATCAAAATACTTCATTATTTCTTGATAAAGTGTTTGAATAATAGAGCTTGCAGTTATGTGTACTAGTTGAAGCAGCTAGCATTGATGCATTTAAGGAAAGCTCAATGCTTATATGAGGGAGAAAAGATGGGGATGCAGAAGTTAGTGGAAAGAAATTTAAATTGGGAAAGGCTTATTTGGAGTATGAGCAAATTCAATTGAGCTGAGCCACCTATTTCTAGCTTCCATATTGATTTCTTTTCCCTACTGGCTGCCTCACAAAGTAATGGAAATCAAGGGTTTTATTCTTTCAAGGAACTTGTTCAGCATCATATGGTTTTTATTCTGCTACTTGGCTGCAGGTGACCTTAACCTCCATCTAGATATGTAGTAAATGCCAGAAGAAAGCCAAGAGACCGTGCCCTCATTGAGATAGAAACATTGGGTTGAATAACCTGTTTCTGATATGTATCAAGACAACACTTTAAAAAGCAAAAACAAACCTGGGTCACCTAAGAAAGAAAATGAAAATTGCAGAGTAGGAATCCTATCTGACATGCAGGAAAATGGTTCTGAATATCTGAGGTCAATCACTGTCAGCTTAGGCCAATGCTCAACTTTTTCTCGACTGCTTCATTAGTGATGTTCCCTGCCACTATGGTTAAGAGTGAGCCTCTTCTTTGGGGATACTTAGTGTTGGAACTATAAACCCTACCCAAAAAAACTACTTGTGCAGTCTTTTTTTCTGGATTTGTTTTGACGTTGAGGGGTCGTAGAATTCCTGATGTTTTTAGCAGTCATGACTGCTATTACCAAATGCTGAAAACGGCAACACCTTACTAAGTTGTCTTTTATATGGATGGGGCAGAGCCTGAAGATAACAAGAAAAGATTGGGCAATCCCTGACTGCTTGTCAGCGAGGTTTATAAGGATAGTAAGCATAGTCTCTGAAACATTTTTGGAAAATGGCAGAAATGCATACTCCCAGTCATTAATGTTTTCACTTTGGCTAATAATCTCTGGTATTCCTGCAAACTTTGAACCAATATTGTTGCCAGTTTTGAGAGTTGGAAGAAATGAAGGATTGACTGCAAGTGCAACATGAAAATTTTGAGGTTAGCATTGTACCCTTATATTTTGTTTAAGGTGGACTGAGGAGGCAAAAGGCGTTGAATAAGCAGTGTTTTTACCATGCCCACTAATCCCATTTTTTTTTTTTTTTTAAAAATCTGGAGTCTGTCACTTGCCCACAGAAGTGTAATTCATCTTAAATCAACACCAAACAGTGAGTTCCAAGTGAGTGAAATATCTCAAAATTGAGGAAATGTGCTGACCATATATCAGCAGCATAAATCTGTGTTTGTTAATATTTGGCCCCTGAGATTTGTGGTGTATCCCAAAGTAACCAATAAGGTCAAAAAATTGCAATGTTGCATTAAGGTGTGGGTATAATCTTCATTTAAGGTATTAATAACTTCATTTGAGTGTTGAAACAAATTGGTTAATAAGTGTAGTAGCTTCCTGCTTCTAGTTCTGAATGGAGCATCTCGGAGCCTGGAATACCACCATGCTTTCTCACTTCAGTATGAAGATTATTCAAATCTAATAGAAATTAGAGTAATATTTAAGTTTCACTCCTCATTTTGCAACATTTTGTGTATGTCTGACATCATGGAATATTTCCAATAGTTGCTGAAATGGACAGATGAGCTTAACGGTGTAAGAAATCACCGTGACCAGCTGCTAGTTGAAATTGAACAGTTGAAGGATGAAATGAAGAAAGTGGAACTCTTGCGACGCGAATCTAATGATCAATTAGAAAGAGAAAAAAAATCCATAACAATGCAGAAAGATGAGCTCCAGTTGCAGAAGGATAAAATCCAGAAAGATCTTTGTGAAAAGGCTGAAATGGTGAGCAATGGAATTCCCCTAACTTGATGACTGCAGCTTTTATAGTTTTCCTGATTTTTGTTGCTTTCTTTTGAGTCTGCAAGTGGTCTGAACATACTATTAAAAAATGTATTTACGGTAGACAAGCCAGAAACAGTGGAATATTGTTTTTTAAATCCTTGGGTATCTGTGCATGAGATTTGTTTACCTTTTTAATCATGTTTAATTCTTGAATAATTACCAACAGCTTGCAATGGAGGAAAAAAGAAACGAAGAGCTCAAAAAACTTGTCACAACGTTGGAGAAACAAATCCTCACTTGGAAAGAGGACAAAATACAAATTGTATCCACTAATTCAGAAACTGATCCAGTTGAAGCAGAAATTAATAAACTGAACAACTGTCTACAAGAAAAGGATCTACTATTACAAGTATGCTTTATACAATACTACTTTGCTAGCAATACTTTCAGTTGCAACTTTTCTTGCAAAGGTGTAATCTTATTGATATGTGGAAGATGTAAGAGTGAGGAATGAAGAAAGATGGTCTGGAATTGTCAAATTAATGTAGCTGCCAGCTTTCCTCTTGGGAGTTTGTTCAAATATTGTCTGAATCAACTGATGCAATTTGCCCTGGCGACTAGCTAGTTATTGTGAATCTTGTTCATCCAAATCACAAATCGAGCTTTATACCAAATGGAAGAGGTACTCCCATTGAGTTCAATATGCAGCCTGTTTACAGAATGCGGGCTTTGGCAACAGTTTCCTTTAAAGCATGATTTACACATCATTCTGGATCACTTTCAAAGGTGAAAGATGCCTGTTTAAGATCGCTGTATGTAAAGTGTGATTTTTTTTTTTATTTTTTTTTTACCATTTTGTTCTTAATTTATATGTGGGAGTGTCTGCAAGTCTTTCTGTACAGACTAGGTGATCTAAGCTGATAAAATGCAAGCTTCGGGGGGGAAAAAACTCCTGAAACATCAAATGAAAGGAGCTTTTGCAGGTTAGATCTTAACATGATCCCTTTTACATCACATTCAATACACTCGCATTATACTCAAATATATTACATAACAGCACAGGAGAGATCTAGTCATTAACAAAGATGCTTGTTCTGAACAGTCAATTTACAGCAATATTTCTTCAAAACGTGTACTGCACCTGTTATAACAAGGGTAGAATAGATTACCAGTTGATATTTCACAACCAATTAAAATCAGTATGATCTTTTCATTTTTAAAATATTAGTAACAAAATAGTGTGTAAAATGGTTTACGAGAATGGGTCCAGGGATGAGGCACTTCAGTTGTGAGGATTGGAGAAGTTGGGACTGTTAACACTGGAGAGGAGAAGGCTAAGAGGAGATCTGATAATTTTCAAAATCATGAGGGGTCTGAACAGTTGATGGGAAGGAACAGAGGATTTGTGAATCTTGGAATAGATTTAATGTTTTGCGAAAGGAACAAACTTGAGATGAGAACTTTTCTCACCATGATGATTGAGGATCTAGAGCACATGATCTGGAAGTCTGTGGAGGCAGGTTTAATTCAGGCAATCCATAGGGTACTAAGTCAAAATACTCAGCTGGTGCTAATGGGAGTAACCGAGTCGAGTAGATCACTTCTCGTAAATTGGTAGGCTGGCAGGATTAGTAAAGTGTTGAATTGCAGCAGCACCTGTTTTCTTTTTGACATTAAAATTTTGAATATTGGGGGAAAATGGCAGTTTATTGTTTCCAATTTTTAAAAATGCCATCTGTAGATTAAATTTAGAATTGATGTGAACTAAACCAAAAGAGTGCTAATTTTAGTTCACCCTTTTAATATGGACAATCTTCACTGGTTTGCTACAGTGAGAAATAAGCTGAAGATGTCTCTGCCTCCGACTGTGGTTCTTGAGAAAGTAAGCAGAAGTAGATATCATTAGTTTCTAACTCGGCTGCCAAATTCCTTCCTTCACTAGTTTGTCTGTGCAGCCAGTCTGAGAGTATACATGTAACATTTAGACATAGAACTCTAGGGACTTTAGCCAAAAGTTTGCAGCAGAATTTTAGAGGCTATTTCTTGCATTAATGTTAAATTGGATAGTTAATCTTTCTAACACTTAGTATTGTAATTCAAGGCCCGATATAAGCTAGTGCTTTTCTGTGCTCGGTAATACGTCACGTAGAAGGTAGGAGCAGGAGTAGGCTATCTGACCCCTCAAGCCTGCCCTGCCAATCAATATGATCATGAATGATTTATCAAGCTTAATATTCTAATCTGCTCTCCCTCCATATCCCTTGATCCTTTTAGCCACAAGACCCATCACCACATCAAACATTTGATGTACTGGCCTCAACCTCTTTGTGGTAGTGAATTCCATGAGCTCACCACTCTGGGTGAAGAAATTTCTCTTCAACTCAATCCTAAAAGATTTACTCCTTATCCTTTAAACTATGGCCCCTGGTTCTTGAACTGTCTCCATACCCCCAACTCTGACTGTATTACAACGTGATGGTGTTGGCATTTGATTGGCATTGTTACATATTAGCATTCCGTTTTGTTTCAGCTGAAGTGTGTCCTTGGTCTGTGACAACCGGTGATTGCAAGCAGCATTGAAGCTGATGTGTGATTTTTGTCAGTTGAAATTATTTTAATAGTCAACTGACTTCCGTATAACATTTGCTTCGTTACCACTGTTCTTGACTGAATTTATTTACTTTTTTATTATTCAGACCACATTTCAGAGTTTATTTGAATTGGAAAATGACTACAAGGTTGGAATAGCTAAAACTGATCAAGAATTCTCAAGAGAGATGGAGGCTTGGAAAGAACAACTACTCAGAATTTGCTCTGAAGTGCCTGAAGGATCAACAGAATCGATACGCATTGTGAAACTACAGGAAGAAAATGCAAAACTATATGAAAAACTTATGTCGTGGAGAAGTAATTTTATGGTACTTGATGAATTAGATTTTATTCAATGGCAATACGTCTCCTTAGACAGCACCTTCTAAACCTATGACCTCCACCACCCAGAAAGCCAAGGGCAGCAGATCACACTTGCAAGTTCCCTTCTTAGCCAGTCGCCATCCTGACTTGGAAATCTACCCCATTCCTTCGGTGTTGCTCAGTCTAAATTGTGGAACTCCCTCCCTAATGGCACTGAGGGTCTAACTACACCAAAGGGATGGCAGTGGCTCTAGAAAGCAACTCCCCACCATCTTCTCAAGGGCAACTAGGAGTTGGGCAAAACGTTTTGTCTCTGCCAGTGATGCCTACATCCCATGAGCAAACTTTTTTAAAAAATGAGCATTAAAGTTTAAATTCCAAAAGCAATGTATTAGCAATGATTGAAATCTGAAATGAAACCAGAATGTTGAAAATGCTATGCCATCTGGCCTCCTGTATGTGGAAAGGAGGATGTTAGGTCCATGTTCCAAGTCAATCAACTTTTCTCAGACTGGACCTGAAACATGAGCATCTGCTATGCAAAGATGCTTCTTGAACTGCTGAGTGTTTTTCAGAAAATTTTGATTGCAATCTAAACTTGTTTTTTGTTTTAGAGATAACAACACAGTGTGGAGCCCGAGGAATACAGCAAACCAGGCAGCATCAGAGGAACAGGGAAGTTGACGTTTCAGGTCCGGACCCTTCTTCAGAAAGGGTCCCGACCCGAAACATCAACTTTCCTGCTCCTCTGATGTGGAGTACATTCAAGTTCGAAAGGTAGAGTCGTTAATTTATTGTAAGAATTGTTGTAAAATATGTAGACTTTGGTTTATTTATTCTCTGGAAGTAGAGATCACTGGCCAGGCCAGCACTTATTGCCCAAGAGAAGGTGGTGATGAGCTGTCACTTTGAACCCCTGCAGATGGTAGAGATTGTGCGTTTGGAAGTCGCTGTTAAATGTTTCGTTAACTTACTTCAGTAGTAATGGTGATCTTAGCAATTATATACAGTTGCACAGTTATCCTGTTATTTCTGCACTCTAATCCAACTTCTCACTGAATTGTGGAGCTTTGGTCATGATCAGCTTCAAAATGACAATGCATTAAGAATTAAATGGCAGTTGCCTTAATGTGACATTTGATAACATGGAAAGAATCAAAGTCTTGAGAAGGCTTAGATAAATGCTTGGTTGTGAACTGAGCCTAATTTTAACTTGTAAATAGTTTCTAGCCAAGGTTGATTTTCTTTGCAATCAGTATGTAATATTATTGTAGGCACTTCTGGTGCTGGATTTTCACTTTTATTGGTGTTTGAGAAAAGTAGTAAATAATAGGATCTAACTTTTCAAATAAAAATATTTCAGTAAAGCTCACCATTTTTATTTCACAACTGAGCCTATTTCTGTGCTTCTGCAACAGAGAGTGATGAGCACTGTGCCTCCTCGTGTGAAGAACTATCAGAAACCTATTAGTAAATGCGATGTGAGTCTAGCAGATGAGAAAAAGAAGAATGAAGAATTGCTGTCACAGTTGCAGGCTCTGAGAAAGCGAGTATCTGATCCACCTGAATTGCAATTGGTATCAGAAGAGAAGAACACTGAAATAAGAAAAATTTCAGCCTTAATTGCAAATAAAGAATACCACTTAGAGGTTTGTATTGTTCCTTTTATAATTAATTGTCAGGGAGCTAGAATATTGTAATTCCAAGATTTTGTTTAAACTTTGAAGATTGAAGTGTTTGGTTGCAAAGTTAGCCCATGCGGCTGCAGACCTGACGCCAGAACGTTATATTCACCTCCCTCGTGCAAGGATATAGAATGTCACTGCTTACAGAAAGTTCTGAAGGAAGAGGGTGATTATTTAATGACTGTGGTGTAAATTGGTAGAAAACTGAAGTTCTGCATTAAGATTTTAAAGAGCCAAGAAAAATATTTCACAACAAGAACTTTCAAAAGTTGTAATTTGGGAAGTGGCATTTGCTCATAGGTAATGAAATTGGTGCGTGCAGATGAATCCATGATTCAAAAAACCTGAACATAGATTCGCCAGTGAAGCTGGAAACCAAGGGTAGAAGATTTGTTAGTGAATTTGGAAAGCAGAGGACTTTAAAGGTTAGAAATAGACCAGTAAAGAATCATTTTCCTACTTGGTTTCTCAGGCGTGCGCTCTCAGATTCTCCCTCATACTGTCTGTATCTGTAGGTGTAAATTATGGCTTAATTACTGCTTCTGTCATTCCTACAATATCTATTGATGTTGATTTCTTGGGAAACTATTATCTGGAGATGAGGTATCACTATCTCCAGTCGTTTCAGGAAAGCCTGTTAAGGCTTTTTAAAACATTGATGCTCTTTTAGGTCCTTTTCAGCTCTTTTGTTTTCTGTATATTAAGTGGGCAAGGGTCTTTTAAATTATCTCTTTGGAGTGTTCATTTTTATAATCAGAAACTCAATGGAGTCCAAAAGTAGGTAATTTTTGGGGGGGAAAAAATACTTTTGTTTTGGGATTTGATAATGTTAGACAAGTCAAACTGGCTAAGTAGCCTAAATGGCAATTATTCAAACAAGTCATACTTCCACTTTTTTCAGGAATGCACAAAAAACTATTCTCCCTGGTGAATCCCAAACAAGGTCAAATTTTCAAGTTAACACTGAGTCATTTGAGAACAAAATTCAAAAGCACATTTCCATGAACACTGTAATGGATGTCTTGAAAAGATTATCCCAACAGATTTTGGATGCTGGGTCAAGTAAAACATTCGATCCTTGTTATATAAGGAACAGGTAAATAGAGTTCAGCTATGATCTAATTGGAGGACCAAACAGGCCAGAAGACTGAAATTGGACACTGCTGTTCCCATAAGAAGTCTTAACTTTATCTGAGAATGCCCAATAATTTATACAAGACATTTTAGCTCTTTCATTGGCCCCAGGGCCATTTTACTTGGGCATTTGGTTTGAATAATGTGAATAATATGTAGCTAATGCTTAAATTCATAGGTAACTGTTACTTGTCTCCACCGAAGTTGTTAGTTATTAAGATAATGGATATTCTTTTGCAGAAAAAATAATGTTTAGCCACATTTTCCAGTTTTATTTCAAATCAATACTGGGGGAAAAGGTCTAAGAAATAAGAACCAAAATGAAAAATCAGTTTTTGTTTGGAACATCACTAAAATCCCAGCAAAAGAGGATGATGACTAGGTACTGTTAAGTCAATGCAGCAATTAATTAGACAGTTTCTGCCACTAATCCTTATGAATAGCAGCTCCACAAATGATATAGTAACTTGCTGCAATTGGGAAATTAAACTATTTTGCAGTAGGTGTGATTATAACATTTGGTAATGGACTTGGATCATGATATTTTAAATGCAATGTGTTAGCATCACGTATAAAGTAGCGCACTCGTACCATGGTTGTGAAACTTAAGCTTAATTTTGTAACATCTATTGTAAATATTGTAATAATTGACCCAGATATTGGGATCAGTAACAATGTTGGATGTATTGCTGCTGCATGTGAAATTTTCCGTCCTCCAAAGGAAACTTTTATTTTTGGCTGGAACTTTCTGGCTGATGCAGAAATGGATCAGGTTTGCAACATCAGGATATGAGAATGGAAAGGTGGAGGGGGTCACTCAGATCTTTTTATGTCACCTAGCTGCCAAATTCAGAAGTTTTAAAAAGTTTGTCAGAAAGTGACTCAATTGCATTTGTGGGGACAGGGAGGATAAGAGACTACTGTTATGGTACTTTGGTGTGTCGTGCTGGCTTATCACAGAGTTAGACCAGGTATTAAACTGTGCATCTTTTCTGGAACTAAGTATCTAAGTAAGTCTGCATGTCTGGCACTGTTTTTCAGGCCAGAGCACAGTGTCAAAGATGTTTGCAAAGGATCCAGGGCAGTGAAAATTGGCCCATCAGAACTTTCCAGGCAACTTCTGTCCACATATATGCTTCCATGAAGTTCTGATATGTATCTTTCCGCTTGCATCCCATTCCTCTTGATCTGGATAGCAGAAGATTTGGGCCATCAAATGTAACATTTCCATTTCATTAGCATCACAGTTAACAATTAAATCTCTTCCATGTCCAGCTTACCATTACGCCTTCAGCACTCTTGTAAGAAAGAATGAAATGCATTCTTCTGTTTTGAGAGGTTTTTAGTAAATCCATTGCCCAAAAATTGATATGTTCTTAAAAGACATGCATGTTGACAATGTATTTACAGTGCTGAGGTAAAATCTCATCAATTCAGACACTAAGTGCTACCATCAGAAGTGATCTAACTATTTTAATAATCTAAAGTTAAATACTTTGACTTGTGAATGCCCTTTCTTGTGTATGTTGAATGTATTTTCTCTCATCCAGAATGCCCAGCAGAGTTTGTTGGAATTAAAATCAAAATATCAAAAGTACCTGACCAGCTCAGAAAATGGATTACTTTCTAAAGTAAAAGCCCGAAAGAATCTTATGGAAACTATTTCCGAACAGTCGGAGAGAAATATTTTGAAGATAATTGAAGAAATTGAGAATGAAAATCAAATATTGGATCAGGAGTGTCAGCTTCAATTGAAAACCGTTCAGGTATATTTATTTGCTTCAAGATGGGAATTTTCAATGTTCAGTTAAATTTGCATTTTAATAAATCTGAATTTTTTAAATTTTCAACTTGAAATCAGCAGTAGTGTTCCCATTGATTTTATTCTGATATCTTCTTGTCTGAGCTTAGACTGTACAAAAACTCTTTTTTTTTCAATTTGCCTCGATTCAAGTTCAAAGCTCTGACTTTCTCAAGCCTGAAGTGATGTAGAATCAACTTGTAAATACGCAAATTTTAGTTTTGAATGTTTAAACTGTACACTGTGCAAAGCCTTTGCAATTTCAGGACTGCATTTTTCTTAATTGTAAGGAAAAGCACCAAAGCAATACTCAATGAGAAATTTGAGATTAGTTTCTATTCATTTTCGGTCCTCAGTACATTCCACCTGATTCATTAATGTCCTTTAGGAAAGGATCTACCATCTTTGCTTGGTGTGACTACATTCCAGACTCTCAGCAATGTGGTTGATTCTTAACTGCCTTCTGAAATGGCTGACCAAGCCATTCAGTTGCTAAAGGTAGCCAGGGATAAACAACAAATGCTGACCTCGTTAGTGACACCACATCATCTGAAAGAAAAATGTTTCAAAATCATTGGAATTGAGCTGACTGACAATATTTTGGTGAATTATCAGTTTGACCAATTTTATGTATCTATAGCGGCTATTTTCCCTGGTTGAACCTCGAGTTCCCACGAAATGTCAAGCACCTGTTCTGTCCATTAAGTCGTTAAATGAAAATCTGCCTCATGCCTTCTGAATAGCAGAGTAAAAAGCATTTGTGGAAAAGCCAATTTGTAACCATTGTTATGGAACAGGCATATAGCAGTCTCAGCTGCTGCAAGTTTCCCTCTACTACCTTAATTGAAAATATACAACCATTCTTTCACCATCACCAGGTCAACATCCTGGAGCTCCCTTCCTAAAAGCACCATGTACTTGCACAAACCCAACTGTGTAGTGGTTTGAAAAAGCTACCTGCCACTAACAAGGGCCATTACGAATGCACTTTAAATACTGGCTTTGTCAGTGACTGCTACATTTTTAAAAAAATTGTCGGGATCTGTTGTTGACCGAGGTAATTGGTAGAGGCTTATTGCTTTCTTTAATTGGCAACTTCATTTTTGTTGCATTGTGACTAACAGAATGGTGCTAAGGAAGTGAAATGATTACATTCAATTTTACCTTTTGTTGTTCCAATGGGGCATGCTTACTTTGGACATATTTAATTGATATCATTATAGTGTTAAGGATTGCTCTGAGATATGTTTCATTATTTGCTATTGTTTGAATTCTACTTCATTGTTGAAATTAACAACATGCCAAACATTTTGCGTAAGTCGGGAAGCTTTTTTTTGGTTAATTGAATCATGCTTCAGAGTAAAGCTAAAAATCGCTTAAAGTCAAATAGGTATGTCTTAGTGAAGTTACACCCTTTCAAAAGATTTTGTCTAGTAATACTAGTGGCAACAGATGACAAGTGTCAAATGACCGATGAAAGGCCAGCATGGACAATAGAATAAATGTTTGTTTCTCATCATTCATGTCACACATTCAAACTGTTCAGTTCATTTTTTTTTTTTTACTGGGAGCCCTCAATGCCCCTACATCTTGCTATCTTCATACTTAACTGATCGAGTTCTTACATTCGTAATCTAGTGCAGAAAATATTATTCATGCTTTCGGTGCACTGCTCCAAACAATGCACTTAGTAGTTCTGCTTAGAGGCACTAGTTACAAGTTAAACACTCTCTTTAAAATGACTTCCCATGACACAGCAGAGGTGTAATGGCAAACACGAATGTTAAGGGTCCTGAACCGAAACATCAACTTTCCTGCTCCTCTAATGCTACCTGGCCTGCTGTGTTCCTCCAGCTCCATGCTGTGTTAATTTAAAGAATTAGATGCTAGAACTGACCAAGCTTTTGGCCAGTTCCAGTATCTAAGGAGTGGTGGGGTACGTTTTAAGGAAGGATTTCAAGAATGGGGCTGAGACAACTGAAGGGCCACCAATTTTAATAATGCAGTGTGGTTGCATAAGACTGTGGCGGAGATGCAGAGAATTAGTGGAAATGTATTGCTAAAGGTTAGAGTATGGAAGATGCAAGGTCATCACATTGGCAACACAACTGACAACACATTGAAGTTGGGTGTGTTGGAGTATGGCTTCTTGGGAAATTCCTTGAGCAATGATATGGTGCAGGAAGAGAGCTTTGCTTGATTGAACGTATAAGAATGAAATTCAATGGAATCACGTTGGGCTGGACCTTGGAGAAGGGTATCATAATTGACTATGTTGAAGACTCCATCATTCGAATCATTGGAGTTACCGCACAGGAAAAGGCTGCTTGGCCCATTGAATCTGTACCAGCTAAAAAATAAGCCACTCAACATCATCTTACTTTTGAGCATTTCATGCATACCCCTACAGATTATATAGCATTTGAGGTACTTATTCAGACACCTTTTGAAATGATTTGAGGGTTTCTGCTTCTACTGGCTTTTCAGGCAGTGTGATCTGGGCCACTGCCATCCTTTGGGTGAAAAAACCTATGCTCATCTCACCTTTTGGTCTTTGTTAATCACTTCATATCTATGTCCCTAGTCACTGACCTCTCTGCTAAGGAAAATAGGTCTTTTCCCTCCATTCTACCCAGCCACCTCACCACCTAGTACATCTCCACCAAATCTCCCCTCTGCTTCCTCTGTTCCAAGGAGAATAGCCCCAGCATACCTGATCTCTCCTCATAGCTTGATTTTTGTAGTTTTGCCAACGCACTCATGAATCTGTTTTGCATCCTTTCTAATGCAGTTACATTCTTTTTGTAATGAGGTGACCAAAACTCTGCATAGTCCTCATTGTGGCTGAACTAGTGTTTCATATAACTCTAGTATAATCCCCTGCTCTTGTATTCGATATCTTGGCTAATAAAGGGAAGTATTCCATATGCCACTTAAACCACCTTACTAACATGTCCTGTTATTTCCCAGGTGATTCACTCCATGTTCCCTCACTCTACATCTCCCACTATTATTCCAATAATTTTGTACTCCTTTGCCTTGTTTGAATTTCTCCAAATGCAATATTTAGCACTTGTGTTGAGTTGTATTTGGCACTTCAGCCCAACTGATCAGTCTATAGATAGCTATAGCAATCCTCTTCGTTATCAGATAGTGGCCAGTTTTGTCATCTGCCAATTACTTGATCATTTCTACTCCATTAACATCCAAATTACTAACGTATGCCACAAAAAGCAGGGAACCCAACTAGAGAAGGATTTCCAGTTGCACAAATGCCCATTAACAATTGTTTCCAGTCACTAAATTTGCATTCAGCTTGCTACATTATCCTGGATCCCAAGGATTTTTACTTTTGTCAGTTGCTAAAATTCATTTTGACTGCATCAACTGAAAATTGTTCACCATAAGAGTAATAAAGAATTGCAGTTGTTTGAGAATGTAATTTTTGTGACTTGTGTATATTTTAGGGCTTTAAATCTTGCTACAAACTTCCTATGAAATGGAAGGGCATGGATCTGGGAGGTATCATGTTTAAATACTTGCAGACTACTGCTCATCTCCAGTCCTTTCTCTGATTTATTTAAAATATAAAGCTTTTTTTTTTTTGCAAGCCATTGTGTGTTGACACAATATTTTAATAGGCATAAACACCTTTAATAACCCTTCTACTGCATCAGTCAGTACAGTATTAGTGAGGCGATGCCTAGTGGCAATGTTCTAAGACCTGGGTTCAAATCCCACCGTGGAAGATGGTGCAATTTGATTGTAAATTAAAAGTCTAATGATGACCATGAAACCATTGTTGATTGTCAAAAAAAACCCATCTGGTTCATTTCCTTTAGGGAGAAAAACTACCATCATTACCTGGTGTGACCAGGTGTGACTCCAGACCCAAAGCAATATGGTTGACACTGCTGTTACAAATGCTGGCCCAGCCAGTGATGCCCGCCTTCTACGAAAGAATAGAAATCTGCCATGTCAGCATCGCCTTATGTCAAAGGCTTGGTGTATACAGATTTTCACTAGAAGTTGGATATGATTTCCCAAGGTGCTTGGCTATCAAGCATGATTCTTTGTTTCATTTTATTTACCTTGCTTTCAATTGAGGTATACTGACAGAATCAGTTCTATATGGTAAATGAGATAATGATCAACTATATTCCCTCTTAGCTGAAAGTTTGAAGTTGTTGGCGACTGCTGTCCAGTAATAAATAGTGAAAATCGATTAGAGCAGCTTAAATTTCTGAACAGCTATGGAATTCTTAGAACAATATCAATTTTGTGTGGGCCAAATTTTTCCCACACGTTTAATGCATTAAACTGAACAGGATCAATTGTATACAGAACAGGGCACCGTCAAGTGTCCAAAAGAAAGCTATGAATTTTGACTTTGGATTAATATAATTTAGTTTATTAATGTGAGAAATTCATATTGCATCACAGCAATAGAATGCACTGCTAAAATTTAACTTCGTCCTACTATGTCCTCAGAGTGTAGCTGCATATTCTGAATCTCTGCGAATTGGGTATATAAAGTATATCAGAAATTCTTGTGATGAACTGGAAAATGAGAAGAAAAAGAATGATGAACTGCTTTTACAAATTGAAGCTGTCAAACAGGAATCATTAAACAAAAATGGCTGTGATTCGTTATTGACACTGGAGAACCAGAAGCTATCCAAAAAGTTGAAAGAAGCTGAGCTATTGCTGCAGGTAATCAAACAGCTTATACTTAGTCAAAATTACATTTGTAAGTAAGTGGAAATGGTCACTGAAAAAGATTTGATATTTGCAATGAGAAATAATCCATCATCCATAATCAAACCAATTCCTTTTGTTACACTGATGTTTACTAATTGAAATTTCAAGATGTAATAATTTCTATTTGGTTACTATTTTACAAATTTGAGAAGGCAAAGTGTACTCTTATTTGATATAATTAATATTGTATGATTGTTAATTATCAGTACTACGATGCTTATCAGTGCAAGGTCCTGATCGGACAACTGAATAACGACAAGATCAGAGTATTCTGGAGTAAATACATAAGTGTAACTACTACTTCACTATTACAATTGGCAGTCTTTAAAGCTTGCAAGATATCACTTGTATTTGGCTGACCAATGTATTGTGATATGTCTATCATTTTATACTGGAATGGAAATATACTGATCTTGAAATGTACTGTTGTCGATTGATTTAAGTATATTTTTATCCTTGTTTTACAATTTCAGAATGAGAGAATAAAAATTAATGAACTTGAAGCAACCCTGACAGCAAGTCAAGAAGCCTACAAGCAACAGGAAGATAAGCTGTCAGAACTGCAGACAGAATTAAGCTCCAAAGCATTAGAAAAAAACCTTGATGATCTTCAGACAAAACTGCTGAAGAAGGACAGCCAAATTAAAAATTTGGAAGAAACTTTGGAACGGCTGCAGGTGTGGAATTAAAATAAAGTCACTGAATGTGAATTTCAAAAATGCTGAAAACAATGTTTTACTGAAATATTTGACATTAGATGTTGTATACCTTTAACCTTTGTATTGTTAGGAATTCATTCAGAAGAACATTTCTCCAATCTGCATCTAAACAATTTCATTTGAATAATTTTGCAGGACTAAAGTGAGATTAATTCACAATCCAGAAGAAAATTTACTCAGTTACACTGTCCTTGTCTGAATTAATGCAATTGAAATGTGTATTCAGCTCTCTTCTCCTTAAGAAGTAACCAGGGCATGTAGTGAAAACAAGTGTACTGTGATTGTTTTAATTAGCACTTAAGCAGCACTTTTGAGCCTATCTAGCAATTATTTAAATTCACCAAGCTCCACAAGCAGATGAGGATAATATTTGACTGGTGTTGTTCTAGAACCACAAGCAGATGAGGATAATATTTGACTGGTGTTGTTCTTGATCTTTGAATGTAATTTATATCAGCCCAGGTAGCTCCTGGAGTTGGTAGGATAGTAAGAAATCAACTTTGCACACAAATATTTTTTGTAAAATTAACAGTTTAGAGATTGGAAAGCATAGGGTTTTCCCTATTTAGAGTTACCATTATCTGGTATCCGCTGCAAATGTACATCTTTAAACCTTGGATACCTCTTTTTTTTGTTTTAAAAAAAAAAAAAACGTCCCTGCTCTTGATTTTGTTTTGGTTAACAAGTTGGTCATCTTCCAAATTCCACATCTATGTAGATTTGTCATCTTTCAGTTACACAATATGTTCACTAGATTTTTTTGTATTGTTTTTCCAACTTTCAGCTCCCATATTTTATAAATATTACTTTTGTTTTCAGTGACTGACATTTCTAAAATCTGAAATAAGGAGTTAAGCAAAATTCAAAATTATACACTTTACAATAACACAATTATGGTTATTAATTGAATTTATTTATACATTTTAATTTGAGCTCATTTTTCTTAAGAGTTGAAGTTTACGCAAACAGCCCAGTGATTATAATCTTTGTTGTGCAATTTAAATAATAAACTTTTAAATTACTTACTACTAAGACACTAATGGTAATGCACACAGTATCTTACCTCATCATAATGGAGATTTTAAAAATAGACAAATTAAATGAATCTCCATACCATAGGACTAACTGATGCACTTTGCCCTCCATTTTCCTAAGTTCTTAGCTTTGATATGGTAAAGGAAAACATGCAATATTATACAGCTGAAAAACAAACAGGCTTTTTGAGGTAATTGTGATGTATGTCATACTGCAAGCTTAGGATAATTTACAAAGTAAAATTAACAGGTATGGCACAGAAGAGTCAGATGTTAATCAAAACAAAAGTTTTTTAAAAATTTTAATCATAAACTGTAAGTTCAAAAATGTGCTTTTGAGGATTCCTTCCGATCTGTTTCTAACTCTATGGTAATTTGAAATTACCATTGTGTACTCCTGAATTGATTGATTTTTTATATCAGTGGCATTATGATTCACAATCACTTGTGTGCTGAAAACTGCAGGCAAATAGTGTGTTCAGAGAAAAAGATTTAAAAATGACTGTTCACGGGATTTGAGAAAATTGTGTAGGTATCTAATCTCTGAATTATCCTGTAGAAGAAAGTAATCATTAGAATGTTTTTGTTTGTTTTTGCATTATTTTTGTTGTATCACAGGCTAAGCTGGACATGGGAGCTCAACCTTTCAAAGAGGAGATGACTGATCTGAAAAATCGGTTGTTTGCATTGCAGATGGAAAAAATTAAAGAAACTAAACATCTTGAAAATCAGTAAGGATCATTGTTTATTTTTAAAGTACTAACAATTTTCAAATTGTGCTGTATTAAAATGTAAAATATTCATTTGCAGAATTAGTTCTCTCAAAGCCAGCTTAGAACATAAAGAAGAGTCGCTGAGACAACTGAAGGAAACACTTCGAAGACACCAGCAAGAACAGGATACCACCAGTCAGTACTTTTTTAATTCATTGCTGTGAGATGGACGAAATTGCTGAACATGGTTTGTGCAATTTTAGAAAGTAATCCAAATAACCCCTTCAGAATCCCAAAGTTCAGAAGAAGTCATATTGCACTCAAAACATTTAACGCTGTATTTCACTTTCTATGGATGCTGCTGAGTTCTCCAGCTCTTTGTTTTTATCTTGTGTGGTGATCAGAACCATTTAACTGTATAGTGTGACAAATAAGTTGGTAGCACTCTGAAATGTGTATTTTTTTAAGCAATGATGTATAGATAAGGTCAACGTGCTAAAATTGTACACATCACTGAGCCATGGTCAGAATATTATTCTGTTTTAAGTGCTTACTTTAGAATGCCAAAACCAGAGTGAAGAAAAGGCCACTAAGGTTATATTAGGATTTGGCTAGCAGGAAAATTTAAACAAGTTATTCTCTTTGTAAAACATTGGGTCAAAAGGTTCTGCAAAATGCTAATCAAGATGCTCAAAATAGAGGAATTGACATTTTAAGCACTGGAAAATTTTAGTACCAGTGAGTTGGTTAGCACAAAGTATAAATGTCAGATCATCAGTGAAGGGGGAGAAGATAATTATTTAAAAAAAAGCTATTGGGAACAATACTTTTTATAAAGACTACTTTTCTGGCACCAATGTCTTTCCAGTGTTTGCAAAACTATCTCCCCCTCTGACCCTGTTTGGAGGATTGAAAGTCATTGGGACTGAGTCAACTGTAGGGTTGATGTTCATTGAGTGGGTGTTGGCATAGCATAATGTACACTGAGTCAATCATTTATTCTGTCTGTCAGACGCGCATTCACTCGACTCACTCATTCCTGTCAAGATGCTCTCACACAGACAGACACTGAGACAGCGGCACACGGGTGCACTCATGTATTCAATTGCTCTCATTTGTTCACTTTAGTCACTTTGTTTCTCCTTGGACATCAGTGAACCCAAAAAATCCCATCTGGTTCACTAATGTCCTTTTAGGGAAGGAAACTGCTGTCCTTATCTGGTCTGGCCTACATGTGACTCCAAACCCACAGCAACATGGTTGACACTTTTACTCACTCCTAACTGCTGTGAGTGTAGTTATAAATGTTGGCCTGGCCATTGACTCCCACATCTGGTCGATGAATTAAAACAGAACGCCCTCTTGCTCCCTACTACTGTCTGTCTGTCTGTCTGTCTCTATCTGTCTGACACTCATTCACAGATACTGTTATACACATGTATATTGGGTAGATGAGTAGCTTTAGCTGGGATAGTTTGACTAGGAAAGTGGCAATTTCTAGAGCACGTATATTCAGTACTATTGCCAGAATGTTTGGATTTTTTTTAAGAAGCCCCACAGTCTGGAAACATGCCATTCAACTCAAGTCCATGTTGACTCTCTGAAGACCATCCCACCCAGACTCAATCCCCACCCTATCCCTGCATTACCCGTGGCCAATCCACCTAATCTGCACATATTTGGACTATGAGAGGAAACCTGAGCACCCAGAAGAAACCCACACAGACATGGGGAGAATGCGCAAACTCCACACAGACTGTTAACTGAGGCTGGAAATGAACCTGAGCTCCTAGTGCTGTGATTGTCAGTGGGGTCCAGTGCCTTCAACCATTCATTAATATTATATGAAGTTAATCAGTTTGGCTGAAGACCAGTATCTGTGTTGCACAAGATCTCTGAAGGAGGCGAAGATGGATCATCCATTTGGCACAGAGTCATAAGCACGTTAAAGTCATTAGTGTCATCAGCACAGAAACCGACCCTTCGGTCCAACTCGTTCTTGCTGACCAAATAGCCCAATCTGACCTACTCCCATTTGCTAGCATTTGGCCCATATACCTCTAAACCCTTCCTATTCATATACCTATCCACACACTTTTAAATATTATACTCCTATTCACCTCCATCACTTCCTTTGGAAGTCGTTCCACACACGCACCACCCCCTGCATGAAAAGGTTACTGCTCAGGTCCTTTTTTTAAAATTTTTCCTCTCACCTTAAACCTACATTCTTTAGTTTTTGACTCCCCCACCCCGGGAAAAAGATCTTGGCTATTCAACCTATCCATGCCTGTCATAATTTTCTAAACGTCTATAAAGACACCCTTCAACCTCTGACGGTCCAGGGAATAAAGCCCTGGTCTATTCAGCCTCTTCTTTTTAACCCAAATCTTCCAGTCCCAGCAACGTTCTTGTAAATCTTTTTGTATCCTCTAAGTTTAACAACACCCTTCCTACAGCAGGCTGATCAGAATTGTACGCAGTATTCTAAAAGTGGCATCACCAATGTCTTGTACAGCTGCAACATGACATTCCAACTCCTAAAGTCATACCCTGACCTATAAAGGCAAGTGTGCCAAATGCCACCTTCACCAATCTGTACACCAGTAACGCAACTTTCAAGGAACTAAGCACCTGCACCCCAGGTCTCTTCATTTGACAACATTCCCCAAAGCCCTACCATTAAATGCTGCCCTGATTTGCCTTGCCAAAATGCAAAACCCCGTTTTTATCAAAATTTAAACTGCAACTGCTACTCTTTGGCCCATTGCCCCACCTGGTCAAGGTTCCAAAGTACTCTGAGATAATCTTCTTCACTGTCCACTACACCACCTGTTCTGGTGTCCTCTCCAAACTCCCTAACCATGCCTGCTATGTTCACATCCAATCATTTATATGAATGACAAAAAGTAGCGGACCCAGCACCGATCCTTGTGGCACACCGCCAGTCACAGTCCTTCAGTCCAAAAAGCAACCCTCCACCACCACCCTCTGTCCCCTACCTTCAAGCTAATTTTGTATCCAACTGGCGAGCTCTTCTGGATCCCTTGTGATCTAACCTTACTAACCAGTCTACCATGCAGAACCTCGTCAAGCATTTGTTGAACTGCCTTCATCAATCTTCTTTGTCACCTCTTCCAAAATACTCCAAGTTAGTGAAACAGATTTCCCACGCACGAAGCCCTAAACAACCCTTGCCTTTCCAAATGCATGTAAATCCTGTCCCTCAGAATCGCCTCCAATAACTTACCCGCCATGATAAGGCTCACCTGTCTGTAGTTCCCTGGCTTTTCCTTGCAGCCTTTCTGAAATAATGACACCACATTAGCCAACCTCCAGTCTTCCGGCATCTCACCGATGGCTGTCGATGATATAAATATCTCAGCAAGAGGCCCAGCAATCTCTTCCCCAGCTTTCCACAAAGCTCTGGGAAACATCTGATCAGGTCCTGGGGATTTATCTACCTTTATGCATTTTAAGACCTCCAGCACCACCTCTTCTGTAATATGTATTCTTTTCAAGCCATGACCATTTATTTCCCCAAGTTCGCAAGCTTCCATGTCCTTCTCCACAATAAATACTGATGCAAAGTATTTGTTTACTATTTCACCCATATCACATAGATGGCCACATTGATCTTTATGGGACCCTCTCCTCTCCCAATTACTCTTTCGCCCTTAATGCACTTGTAGAATGTCTTTGGACTCTTAACTCTGTTTGCCAAAGCGATCTCACGTCACCTTTTTGCCCTCCTAATTTCCTTAAGTAAACTCCCACTGCCCTTGTACTCCTTTAGAGATTCAGTCAATCCCAACTGTCTGTGCCTGACATATGCTTCCTTCTTTTACTTGACCAGAGCCTCAATTTCTCTAGTCAACAAGCATTCCCTACACCTACCAGCCTTGCAATTTGCACTAACAGGAACATACTGTCTCTGAGCTCATTATCTCCTTTTTAAAGGCCTCCCACATCCCAACCACCCCTTTACCTGCAAATTGCCTCCCCAATCAACTTTGAAATGTCTGCGTCTAATACTGTCAAAATTAGCCTAAAGCCAATTTAAACTTTAACTTTTTAGTCTGTTCTATACTTGTCCAAAACTATTTTAAAACTAAGAGAATTATGATCACTTGCACCAAAGTGCTCCCCCACTGACACCTCAGTCACTTGCCCTACCTTATTCCCCAACAGTAGGTCAAGTATTACACCACAACTCGAAGCCACATCCACATTGAATAAGAGTTTTTTCTTGTACACTGTCCACAAATTCTTCCCTGTCCAAGCCCTTAACACAATGCCAGTCCCAGTCTGTGTGGAAAGTTAAAATTCCTTACCATATTAACCTTCATATTCTTACAGATATGAGATCTCCTTTCATATTTGCTTGTCAATTTCCAACTGACTATTAGGGTCAATCAACTTCTGATTTGAAGATTATTGCAAGTGTTTCAGCCTTCGTTTTTGCCTACTTATCTGATGTGTTGGGCTTCCCATCTATAAGGATGGGGATATTTTTAGTGCTTTTTTTCTTCCAACAAGTTGTTTATTTGGTTACCACTACTTACAACTGGATGTGGAAAGTCTGCAGATCTTAGATCTGACTGTCAATTGTGGGATTGATTAGCTCTGTCTACGACTTGCTGCTAATGCTGTTTGGAATGCAAGTAGCCCTGTTTGGCAGATTCTCCAGATTAATACCACCTCTTTTCGGCATACATAGTGGTTCTCCTCCCTTGCACTCTTCCAAGAACCAAGGTTGATCCCATGGTTTAATGACAATGATGGAGGAAGGAGATATGCTGGTTCATGAAGTTGCAGATTAAGTTGAAGTATGGTTCTGCTGCTGTTACTGATGGTCTGTAGTGTCTCATGAATTCTCAGTCTTGAGTTGCTCAAAGTCTACCCTATTTAACATGATAATAGTGCCATATGACACAATGGCAGGAATTCTAACTACTGGATTCATCTGCAACAGGCAGATCAGTGAGGATGCATCCAAGTATGTTTCTCCTACTTTTGTTTGTTCTCCTCCTGTCACTTGTCACATACCCAATTTAGCAGTTATGTCCTTTAAGACTTTACCAGTTTAGTCAGTAATGGTGCTATCAAGCCACTGTTGCCAATAGATGTTGAAATTCTCTTCCCCCACCCCCACCCCACTGAAGTACTTTGTGTCCTTGCCACCTTCAGTGCTTCCTTCAAGTGGTGTTGAACAAGGAGGGGTACTGATTTGACTAACTAAAGAGGGAGGGAGGGTGGTGGTAATCAGCAGATTTCCTTGCCCATGTTTGACTGGGTGCCATGAGGTTTCAGTGGGTCCAGAGTCTGTTGAGAACTCCAGGGGTTGCTCTCCTGAATGTATGCCACTGTGCCATTACCTCTAATAAAAACCGAAAGAACTGCGGATGCTGTGAATCAGGAACAAAAACATAGTTGCTGGAAAAGCTCAGCAGGTCTGGCAACACCTGTGAAGGAAAAAAACAGAGTTAACGTTTCGGGTCCATTGACCCACCCTCAGAACTGATGGTGGCTGGAAAAATGTCAGTTTATATGCAGAAAAAAGAGAGGGGGATGGGGTAGGGAGTAAACGATAGGATAGAGCCTAAAGAGCGAGAAGAGCAGTTGGATAGACAGATGATAACGAGTTGATATTGTTATCAACTCTTTGTCCTAAATCAGCTCGAAGGAAAATGAACATCTTACAAGGTAATTTTTCACATTCAAATGTGTTTTCTAATTACTCAATGTATACACAATTTGGTTAGTGGTGTCCAAGGGCCTTGTGCAAGTATGGAGCCAAAGTTAAAAATCTTCTGGAAATTTTTCAGAGGGCACCAGTAACCTTAAGGATTGCAACTCCCTACCCCCTCACTTTTTTTTTTCCGCATATAAACTGACATTTTTCCAGCCACCATCAGTTCTGATAGTGGGTCACCGGACCCGAAACGTTAACTGTCTTTTTCCTTCACAGATGCTGCCAGACTTGCTGAGCTTTTCCAGCAACTATGTTTTTGAGCCGTTACCTCTGTTCATCTATCTTGGCAGTGGGATTGGACCTCACTTGTAGATGGTGATGGTATTGTCTGTAACATTGTATAAGGTATGATTCCGTAAGTATGACTACGTCAGACTGCTGTCAATTTTAGCACTAGCCCCAGATTTTGGTAAGTAGGACTGAATGGCTTGCATGGTTGTTTCAATGGGCAGTTGAGTCAACCACATTGCTGTGGGTCTGGAGTTGCATGTGGGCTAGAGCAGATAAGGGTGGCAGTTTTCCTTCACGAAGGCACTTTAAGACCTGATTTTTGTGAATTAAAATTTCACCATCTGCTCTGGCAGGATTCAAACCCAAGACCCCAGAATATTACCTGGGTTTCCAATCAAATATTACTTGTCCAGCAAAAATACAAATACATCATCTTTTCTTGTTGGTAGCTTTCTAATGTATTCAGATTTAATTTTTGACAAAATTAATTAGTGAGAGTATAATATCCAATTGACTTCTAATTTCTTTTAGTTACAGTTGAAAATACTAAAGATGAAACGTGTTCCTCTGATGTATCACTCACATGTAGTGCTGGAAGTGGTATAGTTCAGAATGCAGTGGTACTTGTTCTAAATGCTGAGAAAGCTAAACTTACTCGAGATCTAAATCAGCTTAAGAAGGAAAATGAACACCTTACAAGGTAATTTTTCACATTCAAATATGTGTTTTCTAATTACTCAATGTATACACAATTTGGTTAGTGGTGTCCAAGGGCCTTGTGCAAGTATGGAGCCAAAGTTAAAAATCTTCTGGAAATTTTTCACAGGGTACCAGTAACCTTAAGGATTGCACCTTGTGATCCTTTCACATTTGCATCTCTAAGTAAATTTGTCTTGCTGCTTTCCCCGCTCCCCGCTCCCCCCACCAACCATTGCCCATTGTCAGTTATAAAATCATACAGTACAGAAGAGGCCCTTTCGCCCATCAAATGAGCATTGACAGTAAAAGCTACTCTAAATCTACACCAGTCCCACTTTCCAGCACTTGGCCCATAGCCTTAAATGTTATGGTATTTCAAGTCCTAATTGATGTAAGGTTTCCTGCCTCAAATACCCTCCCAGGAAGTGCATGCCAGATTCCCACCACCCTCTGGGTGAATTTTCTCTCCTCAAATCCCCTCTAAATCTCCTGCCTTTCACCTTTAATATTATGCCCCTTGTCATTTACCTTTCAGTTAATGGAAATACCCTACTTTCTGTCCACCATGTCCATGCTCCTCAATTTTAGACAACTCAATCAGGACCCTTTCAGCCTTGTCTGTCCTAAAGAAATCAACCCAAATTTATCTAGCCTCTCTTCATGCTCCTCTACACCCCCACCAGTGTAATCAAATCCTTCCTGTAGTGTGGTGACCAGAACTGCTCATAGTATTCCAGCTGTGGCCTAACTGAAGTCCTGTATAGCTTCAACATGACCTCCTTGCTTTTCTAATCTATGTCACAAGTAGATAAAGGCAAGTGTCCTGTATGTCTTCCTAAACTACCCTATTAACCTGTACTGCCACCTTCAGGGACGTCTGGACAAGCACCCTGAGATTCCTCTGTTCCTGAATATCCTAAAGACCTGCCATTCATTGAGTACTCCCTTGTCTTGTTACTACTTCTTCCAAAGTGCATCACCATTTATTTGTCAAGGTTAAATTTCATCTGCTGCCGATCAGTCCATTTGACCAATCCATCTTTATCCTCCTGTTACCTAAGACTTTCCTCTTCGCTGTCAACCACCTGGTCAATCTTCATGGCATCTGCAAATTTACTTATCATTCCCCCAAGTTCTCATCTATGCTGTTTATTAAATCATAGATAAGAGAGCCAGCACTGATCCTTGTAGAACGTTGCTAGACATTGGCCTGCAGTCACACAAGCAGCCTTCTACCACCAACTTCTGTCTCCTACCACTAAGCTAATTTTGAATTGAACTGCCCTGGATCCCATGTGATTTTACCTTGTTTAACAGTCTGTCACGTGGGACTTTGTCAAAGGTTTTGCCGAAATAAACTGCGTTACCCTCTTCTACACATCTGGTGGCCACTTCCTTGAAAAATTAAATCAAATGTGTTAGGCGTGACCTCTTTCTAACAAAGCCATGCTGACTATTCTTGATAAAACATTGTTTCTCTAAGTGGAGATTAATTTTCTCCTTCAGAATTTTCTCCAATAGTATCCCCACCACTGAGGGACTGATTTGTAATTCCCTGGTATATCTCTACCATCTTTCTGGAAAAGTGGAACCATATTGGCTGTCCCAGTCCTCTGGCACTTCCTCAGTGGCCAAGAGGAGTTAAATATTTGGGTCAGAGCCCCTGTAATTTCAGTGGATTGCCAGCTTACTGTGTTTGGAGATGCTTGAGTGTTCAGTTCATCCTGAGAGTGATGCCATCAGAAGTTCCCACCCCTGGAAGGGTTACCCACAATGGTCACGTCAGCGGGGAGGAACCAGACAAAATGTAATCCGAAACAAGTGCTAAACTGTGATTGAAGCAGGAGCTATATGTGTGATAACAATGACGGCGATGATGGATGAAGGCTGCAGGAGTAGGGTGTTCGCCAATCATCAAGGTTTCCTTTTTTGCTGGAACTAGAATCTCTACCTTCTATCAAGGACCATGTGTCTGCTGGTGTGTAATAGCATTCTCATGTCAAAAGATATCCCACACAAGGTCTCTACCTTGAAGAATTCTGCACATGTGCACCATGAATCCTGCAGCGATCGGCTAGAGGTGACAGGGACGGGATTGAGAGATCTAAAAGTCCCTAACTTCAGACCGGCACGTAGGCGGTAGAGTTTGACTCGGTCATTTCGCTCTTGGCATAGGAACAGAAAAGCATTTGGGCTGCTTTCTTCACAACTGAACAACCATCTTCAGGATCCACTGAGCTCACTCTACATGTGGAAGAGGCCAGAAAAACTGCCCTAAAAACACACTCTTCCATCACCAACTTGGCTGGAAAACCACAACCAGTGGGCTCATCTACCTGCGGTCTGAAAACCAAAGTCAGACACCTTCTTGGATCCTGGAATGTATGAACCCATATGGATAACGAGCAAAACAATTGTCCTGAATGAAAAACTGCCCTCGTTGCCTGTGAACTCGGCACATCAGCATGAATAACCTACAAGGCAGCTGAGAAGAAAGTGGTACACCTGCTGCTGAGCAAAACTCGAGGATCAACCCAGGGTGTGTGGAATTGATTTCACTACTAAACTGAACTCAACTGACTCTGAGCTCCGTGTTGGCATCAATGATCCCTTCATGACTCTGCCTACAACCTGCCAAGAACCAACAGGCAATTGGTTAGGAGTACCTGTGCTCCAAACCATGATGCAAAGAAAGCTTCTATTTCACCATGTACACCATACTCACCAAAATTCCCAAGGAAAATAAATTATTATCCTTGGGGACTTCAAAGCCACAATTGGAAAGGAACGAGTCAGGAATTGCAGTTCCAATGAGATTCTCTTGCTCACCAAATGTGCGGAACATCAGCTGGTTATCTGCAACACACTTTCACCAAAAAGACAAGTTCAAAATTTCTTTGACATCCATGATCAAAGCACTGGAAATGCTCGCCTAATCGCCTTTTGATTCCAAGACCTAAAGGATGTCCTCATTGTCAAAGCCATGACCAGTGAAGATGACTGCTAGACAGACCACCAACTCACTTGCTCCTCAATGCCACCAGAATCCGCTAAAGATGAAGAAAATGACTTGATATCAAGCAGTTCCACAAGCCAAGCATACTTGCGAACATCCGACAAGGTCTCTACCAAAATCTCAAGAGTTAATTTTAACAGACTGGGGGATGTCTGGAAAGAGCTGAAGACAGCCAACGTCTCCTGCTATGAAGAAACCATCAGGTACAAGACCAGGAAACATCAAAACTGGCTCAACGAGAATGGCAACAACATCCACGACTATTTTGATAAGGAGCGGAAAGCTCTCCATACCTTGCAAAGCAACATCACCAGTGAGGCAAAGAGGAAAACGCAAACAGTGAAGATAGAGTTACATAGAAGAACAAGGGAAATCAAAAACCAGTGTGGCCTGAGAAAGCTAAGCATCTGCAACTCCTTGCTGACAAGCACAGAATTTCTTCAGCGCCACTAAGATAATATTACAGAACCAACACCCTTGGCCTCAAACTGGTACAAAGTAAGAATGGCACACTTTTCAGAGACAGAGAAAATATTAGCCTCTGATGGAGAGAACACTTCAAAGAACTCCTAAACTGCAATGCAATTGTTGATGATGACATGTTTGAGGAAATCCTTCAACTCCCCATCAAAAATTATCTCTGACTTCCACCTAGTATAGCAGAAGTTGAGGCCACCATTAAACGCATGAAGAATGGAAAAGCTACAGGAGAAGACTGTTTTCAGCAGAAATTTTCAAACTGGAAGGAGCAGAACATCATCTGTCCTCTGAAAATCTGGGACAAAGAAGAAATCCAGACTGATCTCAGAGATAGTAGGAATTGCAGATGCTGGAGAATCTGAGATAACAAGGTGTAGAGCTGGATGAGCTCAGAGATACTGTTATTGCCACAGTCTTCAAGAAAAGGTATAAAGTGGACTGGAGAAACTACCTCTTTCTTTATTGCAGGGAAGATTATAGCCCAAATCCTCACTAGGTGCCCTCTCCCAGTCTGTGGAAATCCTTCCTGAAAGCCAGTGTGGCTTCTGATCAAACCATGGAATTATGAATGTGATTTTCGCTGTCTGGCAATGCCAAGAGAAATCCCAGGAACAACACGAACCACTTTATGTTGCCCTTTTCAATGGTTCCAAGGCTTTTGACTCAATCAAAAAGTGCTATGGAAGATCCTGTCAATGGCTAGCTGTCCAGTGAAATTCATCAACATCCTCCATCTCCTCCATGACAAAATGTCTACGACAGTCCTTTGAGGTCAAAACAAGGATTGAGCAGGGATTACTCATTGCCCCCACCCTTCTCTCCAACTTCATCTCCACCATTCTTCTTGTCAACAATAAGCTTCCTCAATTGGTTGAAATCCAAGAAGAAAACAACACCGACCTTGCTTGTGGTACTTCAGTATTTGGATGAGAACGGAAGCATGTCAAAGAATTGGTCTCTGCCTCAACCTCAAGACTAAAATCTTTTAGCAACCCGTTTCAAGTCAAGTTCTGGTCTGTCCCTCCATTAAGATCAAAAGAGAAATCCTCCAAAACGTGGAATACTTCCCTTACCTGTTTGAGATGATCATCTGTCCTCCTAGATGAGAGGAACTAATGTCAGTGTCATTGAAGCTACTAACAGCACCAGCACTGAGGCTACAGTCATCTGAAACCAACTCCACTGGGCCGGCCACATGCTTAGGATATTGGAGTTCTGACTGCCAAAGCAAATCGTCTTCACCCAGCTCAGGAAGGCACTTGAATGAGAGGAGGGCAAACGAAGTGTTTCAAAGACTCCCTGAAGGCTTCCCTCAAGAAATGCAAAATGGATGTCGACATGTGGGAGATCCTTGTTCGGAGGAAACTCCTTTATAAAGAGGCACAATTCTTTGAGAACACCCTTCAGCAAGAGGAAGTACAAAAAAGGAATGCCAATGATCTCCAGGTCAAGGACTACTACCATCTTCCAGAAACGCCTGTCAAATGTGTGGTCAGAGATGCTGCTCTAGGATTGGGCTTACCAACACAAGGACCCACTGAACCCATGATCAGTGACATGGAATTTCCAAGGGTGGCAATATGTAAATCATACTTGTTAACAAACAAGTGCCGATGATGAATTTCTTTCCTTGTCTCCCGCAGCAGCGTGGAATACACTCACCCAGACCTGGGTATTTGTCCACTTTTTTAATCCTGTATGACAAACTGCTAAAGAACCTCACAGTCCGTCTTCCCAAATTCTGCATCTACATCCTCCTTTGAAATGAAGACGTGAAGTACTTGTTTAACACTATAGTGATGTCTATGCATAAACTGATCCCTAACAGACCCTATTCTTTGTTTCTCCCTGTGGATATTCTGTCCCTTTGATATACTTATTAGGGAGAATTCCAAAATATCCTATTTTACACACCAATGTTTTCTACGTGGAACAGTTCCTTTTCCGCAGCTACACTGGCACTATCCCCCACCTCTTCCTCCGCTACACCGACTGTATCAGTGCCACCTCATGCTCCCACGAGGAGCTTGAACAGTTCATCAACTTTACTAACACCTTTCACCCCAACCTCAAGTTCACCTGGACCATCTCTGATACCTCTTTCTCCTTCCTGGACCCCCCTCTCCATCTCTGGTGACCAAGTCAAAACCTGATATCTATTTCAAGCCCACCAACTCCCATGGCTACCTAGACTACACCTCCTCTCTCCCACCTTCCTGCAAGAAAGCGATCCCCTGCTCCCAATTCCTCCGCCGCATCTGCTTCTAAGATGAGGCATTCCACTTCCTAACATCTCAGATGTCCTCGTATATTTCAAGGATCGCCACCCCCCACCCCTCCGTGGTCGAAAACTCTCTTGACCACATCACTTGCATTTTCCCCGCACCTCTGCCCCCACAACCCCTCCCTGCAACAAAAACAAAGACAGAATCCCCCTTGTCCTCACGCATCACCCCACTAACCTCCGGATTCAACGCATCATTCTCCGCCACCTGCAATCTGACCCCACAACGAAGGACATATTTCCCTCCCCACCCCTATCTGCCTTCTGTAGGGACCGTTCTCTCTGCAACTCCCTCATCCACTCCACACTCCTCGCTAGCCCCACCACCCCGGCACCTTTCCTTGCAACCACAGGAAGTGCTACATCTGCCCCTATACCTCCCCCCTCACCTCCATCACAGGACCCAAAAAAAACCTTCCACATCAGACAGATGTTCACTCGCACATCCGCTAATGTGGTCTATTGCATTCGCTGCTCCCGGTGTCCTCTTTTACGTCGGGGAAACCAAGCGGCGGCTCAGAGACCGCTTTGTATAGCTCCTGCACTCGGTTCGTGACAAACGACAACACTTTCTGGTCGCCAACCACTTCGTTTCCCCCTCCCAATCCCTGGACGACCTGTCCATCCTGGGCCTCCTCCAGTGTCACAACAGCGCCACCCAGAAACTGGAGGAGCAGCACCTCATATTCCACCTTGGGAGCCTACAGCCCCATGGTCTCAATGTGAACTTTACTAGCTTCAAAATCTCTCTACCCCCAGCCTCATCCCACGTTCAACCCCCTCTCATCCCTGCATCCTTGACCTGTCTGTCTTCTCTCCCACCTATCCGCTCCTCCCACCTCCACTGACCACTGACCAACTCCCACCACTGCCTATGTGCACTCATCTATCACCCTCTCTATCACTCCCCCTCTCTATTTATTTCAGAGCCCCCTTCCCCCTCCCTCATTTCTGAAGAAGGGTCCTGACCCGAAACGTCAGCTTTCTTGCTCCTCTGCTGCCTGGCCTGCTGTGTACCTCCAGCTCCACATTTATTACAGCACTGCACCATCCTTGTTGGACCTCCTACTTAATGATATAAAAATCTTCCCTGAATGCATTACAAAAAAATCTATCCCTCTAAACGCTTTACACTATGACTATCTCAATGTTGGGGAGGTTGAAATCCTTTTAATATAGTTACACTAGCATACCTCCCTGAATTGTCTGCTGGCTGTTCATGGGTCTATAAACATAGTCCCAACAGTGTGACTGCGCTTCCTTTTTATCCCTGAGCCCTATCCACAAATCATCATTTGAAGACCCTTCCAAGATATCATCCCTCCTTACTGCGATAGCTAACTCCTTAATTCAATATTGTAACACCACCTCTGCCTTTACACCCTCCCCTGTCCTCCCTGAAGATTCTGTACCCTAGAATAATGTTTTGCCGGTCTTGCCCCATGGCTGTGTTGGCAACACCATCACCACTCCTTGTTAGATGTTCTTCTTTGCGCAGCAAAACCAAATATTAAGCTATTCCATCTTGAATGTCAAATTTGAGCATGTTCAGCTATTATTTAACACAAAACATTGTGCTTTAGAAACTTTGCTGTTGGATGTGCTACATTGCTTGCTTTGCTTTTCAATCTTGCTGTTTAAACATGAAGTTATTAGAGGAATTTATTTTACCCCTATTGCAATTCTGAGAGAAAATAACCTGTAAATACTGGTTCAAAAACAGAAATTGCTGGAGAAACACAGGTCTGGCAGCATCTGTGGAGAGCAAATAGTTGTCTTGAGTCCAGTGACCTTTCTTCAGAACTGGATTCAAAATATTAACTTTTTTTTCTCTTCACAGATGCTGCCAAACCTGGGTTTCTCCAGCAATTTCTGCTTCTGTTTCAGATTTCCATCATTTGCAGTTCTTTGCCCAACACACCAGCATTTACATTGAAATAAAATTGTTATCTCAATTGATTTTTAGAATGGTGTCTGAGCTAAAATATGAGAAAAACATATGGAAAGAAAGAGCGACAAAACATGAAGAGAAAGACAGAATGCCATTCAAGCAAGAAAATATTCACCATACTTTATGTCCAGATGAGAGTCCCCCTTCCCAGTCACAGAAGGAATGTTCACTACCAGTGTCACAAAATGTTGAGATTTCAAAAGCCTTGTTTCCTGCTGAAAGTAAAGCTACTGCCACTCAGAATAAAACTTTGGAAAATGTGCTACCTATTGATTCTTCTAAGACGTCATCGTTTGGTATGGAATCACAGCTGTGGCCGCTTCCTCGAACTAAAATATTTGATAACTCTCGGCTGAGTTTTCCTGGAGGTAAAAACCATTAGTATTTGTGTGGTTAAAATATTAAGAGATCACTATTTCAAATTAAGCTGTTGAAAATAACTTGGCTTAATTTTTTTTTTGCCATGGGTGATTAGTAAGATCCAATTTCTAGGAGCAGATTTGACGTGACAGCAAATCAGAAATTTTCTTTGTCAAGAACAAAGTGAACGTACGTGTCTGAGGTTTGCATGATAGAAGGAGAGCTTTTGCATAAACTGCCTGTAATTTGACTTGAATTTAAAATATGCTTAGCAGCTCTGGCAGCATCTGTGGCCAGAAAGCAGAGTCAATATTTAGAGTCCAGTGTCCATTCTTTAGAAATGGACTTTGAAGTATTAATGCTGCTTTCTCTTCACAAATGCTGCCAGACCTGAGATTTTCTGACAATTTCTGTTTTTGTTTCAGATTTCTAGCATTCAGTTATTTGCACATCACCAGCTTTTACATTAAAATAAAACAAAGTTATCTGAAATGATTTTAGAATGGTGTCAAGTGATATTGTTAAAGATTTTCTGCACTGAATATTCAATAATTTAAGGATATAAAGTTCTGAGTATTTTCTTTTAAAGTCATTGGTTTGTTTCTTGTAGCATGTGACAATATTTATTTTTTGTAGCCTTGACTGTGATAAATTGTTTATATTTGCTGTAGCTGGAGTAGAAAATTGATCTCATTGCCAATAAGGGGCAGAAGTCCAAAACAATTGGTATTTTTTAGTCTGCCTTTTTAATGACCTGAATTACCCTCAAACACTTTGCAGAGGCATTATTGAAAGAAATGATATGAGTCCACATAAGGATCAGACAATCAAAAGCTTAGCTAAAAGGGTCAGTTTAGAGGAGGAAAGAAAGATAAAAAGGCAGAGAGATTTAAGGACAGAGTTTACAATGATCAGGATTTGAAAGATAGTGTTTTTTTTAAAATCAAGATATTCCTTAGCAGGGATGGGGGTTAGTGAGTGAATGTGTGACTTGGGTAGCAGTGTTTTGGATTTAATTTAGAAGTTCAAATTTACAATGGGTAGAATGTAAGATACTAAAGAGGATTATGTTAGAATAGTCAAATCTGGAAAACAAAAAAAAATTGCCTAAAAACATCCAGGAAAACCTTCTCTCTTCTCATTTTGAAAGCAATCAAGAAAAATCCTTTACAGCCTTCAAAATCAAATTATATAGAGCTGGACAGCCTACACACAGGTTCTAAATCTAAAATACACTAAACCCTGTGTAGAATCAAAATGCTTTTTTTTTTTGAGCTTTAAAACATCTTTATTACTGTAAGGGTTTGGATTATCTCTCCTTACTCAATATCACTTAATTTTTACGTTGTGGCTTTTTGCTACATTGGATGAACAATGGCTAACCACCCATGCATTTCAAAAGCTAACTTCCTAAATTTTTTCAACAGTATTAATTACTTATTGAAGCATGATTCACATTCATATTGAACACTGCAGGCTTCCAATATTAGCACTCAGTAGTAAAAGTGAGAGTAGTCTGCCAACATTGACTTCTAGTATATTAAAGGTGCCATAAATAAAATGTCCTAAGATGTTTTGCAGTAGTGGTACAAACAAGATTTCTAACCAAGCCATCTGAAGGATTAGGCAGTTTTTGATCAAAGAAAACATCCCTTTTAAAAGCAAGTAGATGAGCACTTCAAGGGAATGAAGCAACTGTGCAAGATTCTTCCTCCCAGAGTCTGGAGACAGCTTAAAACCCTCTTCCGCCTCACTCATTCATGCCCCCCACCCCTCGCTATTCAGTTTGCCAATAGGCCTTTCAACTGCATCTACTGCCCTACACCTCTTCCTGCTATTCACTCACCTCCCTGGGGATAGGAGCTCAGGCCCCAGAGCTACTTCAGTCACTCGGCGATTGGATAGCAATGAGGTCACGAGTAGGCCAAGCTAATATGTCCTGTCAGATGTTGGCAGGCAACCAGGTATGGGATTTTGGGAGTAATTGTGGAGCAGAGCTAGAAGCAAACACCTCATCATAAAGTCCTACAGAACAGTAGAGGCCCTTCGGCCCATTGAGTCTGTGCTGACCTAGCACACTAATTCCAATTTCCATCACTTGGCCCATAGCCTTAAATGTTATGATATTTCAAGTGCTGATCAAGTTTGAGACGTTTCCCAGCTTTACCATTGTCCCAGACAGTGCATTCCAAATTCCTATCCCCCTCAGTGAAAATCTTATTCCTCAAATCCTTTCTAACCTTCCTGTCCTTCACCTTTTAGAATTGTGCCCCCTCATTTATGACTCTTCAACTAAGGGGAAAAGCTGTTTCTTTTCCACCCTGTCCATGCCTCTAGTAATATTATATCCTTCAATCATCCCTCTCCACTTTCTCTGTTCTAACAAAAACAACCTGAGTTTATTGAGCAACACCCTAGTGAATATTCTCAGCAGCCCTTCCAGTGCAATCACATCCTTCCTTCCTCTAGTGCAGTGACCAGGCATGCACGCAGTACTCCAGTTGTGGTTAAACCAAATTTTTGTGCAGCTTTTGTGCAGCTTCAGCATCACCTCCCTGATCTTAAATCTCTGCCATCACTGATAAAGGCAAGTCTGCTGTCTTCTGTCTTAAATATCCTATTAACCTGTCCTGCTGCCTTCAGTGATCTATGAACAAGCACCCCACAATTCCTCTGAGCTTCCTAGTGTCCTACCATTCATTCAGTACTCCCTTGTCCCGATTCAATTTCCAAAGTATATTACCTCACAACTCTGCACACCCCGTCTTCAATCTCATTACTGGTAGAGACTCTCTCCTGCTCTTTTTCAGATTCTTCTCTTCTGCCTTCCAGAGTATATCAAACTATTGGTGATGGCACAGCCAAAATCTCCTGCATGGTGGCTGTAGAGTTGATCGTAGTAGCTGCTCAAGCTTATGTAAACACAGTTTCCCCACCTCCTGCCTGCCCTTGTTTTTGCTTCAATCTTAGCTTCTATCTCGGAAGGAGCAGCAAGAGCAGGAAGGAACCTGTGACTGGAAGAACTCAAGTGGCTAGTGTGTTTATGACTGGATCTTCCACTTCACTCTTACAGTAAGAGTGGGAGAAGTGGAAGATCCAGTCATAAACACACTAGCCACTTGAGTTCTTCCAGTCACAGGTTCCTTCCTGCTCTGGCTGCTCCAGTCACAGCTCTGCAGTCAGTTCCTGCTCTCCCCCAACGTAACAGAGTTGCAAAAGATTTTAAGCCCCATACCATAATCATGTTTAATATTTTAAATACTGAAAACAGCGGATTTCTAAGATGCTGATGTCAGAAACCTGTCTTGTGGGAATTTCTTATCACTAGTTTATTAAAAATGCAGGTGAGGAAATTTTTTTTTTTTTTTTTTTTTTTTGAAGAAAAATCTAGTAGTGAAAAAAAAATGAAAATCTGCTGATACCAAAAAAATTACATCCCTAATGAAGGCAAAAGCCTGATAAAGAAATAGCTTTGAAAGAATGCCTTAAAGGAGTACAGTGTACAGACTGACAGCAGAAGCTGGTTGTGGTAGCTGGAGGCAAGGCCATTGATGGCACTCCAGTTAAAATCCAGAATGTTTAAGAGGCTACAATTAAATAATTGCAGCTAACTTTGAGGGGTGTCAGACCGGAGATCTTTAGTGATGGGGAGAGGCAATGCAACAGAGGTATTTGAAGCACAAGGATAAGAATTTTTAAAATCACAGCAGCAAGCCATGTGGCCCATCATGTTTGCAGTGATTCTCAAAAGGAGCAACTTATTGAGTGCCACTCGCTAGCCTTCTATTTGTATTCCAGCATTTACTTCCCTTTCAGACATCCAATCTTTTCTTAAATGTATTTGCTATTTACAGCATATTCTCAGGCAGAACTCAACCACCTGCCGCAGGAAAAAGCTTTTTCTCATATCACTGCTACTTATTTTGGCAATTACCTTAAATTTGTATCCTCTCGTTCTTGATCCTCCCATCAGTGGGAACAGTTTTTCCCTTCTGACTCTGTCCAGACTCCTCATGATTTTGAAAATGGTGTTTTAACTTTCTCTTCAACAAAACAATTCCAATCTTACCACTCAAACTACATAACTGAAGTACCTCGTCCTTGAAACCATTCTCAATCTCTTCTGCACTCTCTCCAATACCTTTCACATTCCCCTTCAAGTGTGGACTTCTCTTGGAAATTGGAGGAGTCCCCTCCCATGGTAATTGGAAATTGTGGTTGTGATAGATTTGCTTTAAGCAAGACTTTTGGATTAGTTCTCACAATAGGATGACAGGATTCGAAGATGACAGATGGTGGCATGTGGTAATTTCACTGGACTATCAATCCAGAATGCCAGACCAATGTTCTGGGGGCATGGGTTTGAATCTGGCCATGGCAGATGGGGAATTTTGAATTTGGAAAAAGCTGGAATAAACAGTTGGCCTAATAGATACCATGTAAGAGCCCATCTAATTCACTACGTCCTTTACAGGAGGAAATCTGCTCTCCTTGCCTGGTCTGGCCTACGTGTGACTCCAGATCCACATCAATGTGGTTGGACCTCAATTGCCCTGTGAGCAGCAAGGAATTGGCACTAATTCTTGCTTAGACAGCGATGCTCACATACCGTGAAATAGCTAAAAAGATTTAAGAGGAAATATTGGAAGTGGGAGATGATGAAATGTTGGGCTCGCAGTCTGGCTTTAAGGCAGTGAGCCCTAATCACAATATTATGGGGAGTTCAAAGGAAACCATTTTAAAGTTCTTCATCCTAGTAAAATAATGTTGGCAACACTCTACTAGAGTACTGAATCAGGCATTTGAAATAAATTCTGCATACCTTAATCTTTATTAATTTTGGATTTTTCTTTGTCTTTAGCTGCAAGTCCTCAAGGAAAACCCAAATATGAGAAGAATGAACATGATGCTTGGTGGCCCAAGCCCTCTGCTGCTGATCCTGAGTGTAAAATGCAGTGAACATTCTTTGGAGCAAAGGAACACTGTATAGTTCATGAAGTCACTGTTGAAATTGTCATGCTGACCATTTGAATGATAAAATAGATTATATACTCGTAGCTAGAGCCAGGTAGCTCAATTTGTTAATAACTTTTTTCCTCTAATCTCTCTTGTAGAGGTCACAGAACAGCTAGTCTGATTCAAATTGTCTCTCTGATGCACTGGGTGCTGTTCTAATAAGGATAAAAGGAATTTGGTTCTGAATCTAACTGTGGTAAACCTTCCCAAACAATGCTGGATATCTAAATTTGGAAAATTTTGCACTTTCAACACTAGTGTTTCTTGTCTTGTAGCATCAAAATATTTTGTCAAAACATGTCGCTGACAGCAAGAAGGTAAATATTTAGCAGCAACATTCATGCCAAATGATCAAAAGCATTAGTGGTTTTTAATTAATTACTTGAAATATTGTCCTGGCTAATGCTCCCAGTAATGTCAAAAACCTGTCACGATAGTGATGGTTTCAGCACCCTGAATTTCTGTTAATGTATACACTTTTATACAACAAGTTTCTACTATTGATGTTTTCTTGCAAAAATAAAGACTTATTTCTAGTCAATAAAACATTTCTTTGGTTTTGCTAATATATATAGCACTAATTTGCCATTGCTGAGTACTCAAAAGTTGTTAAAATATCATTTAACCTTCATGGATTGCAAAGACAACAGTATTTGAGGGGAAAGTAAATTGTCTTGTTTTTCCATCCATTTGAGATGTGTGCAGGAGCAATATTTATTGCCTATCCCAATTCTCCCTGAAGGTGGTGCTGAGCCATGTTCTGCAGTCAATGTTGTGAAGGTATACCCTCAGTGCAATTGAGGTGGATGTTGAAATCACCCAGACCCCCAGTCAGTGTCAGTCACTCAGCATACCCTCTCAGCCATGCTCCTCCCTCCCAATTAGTTACTCACTTGTGCAGTGACCGTCTCAGTAAAAGGACTGCTGCTTTTGAGAGAGACGGTGTGTGTGGGGGTTGGAGACTTCCAGCGTGCAGGAATAAAGCAGCTGCTGTTGTGGAGAAGCAGAAGTCTTGCATTCCGAATAAAAGGAAGGGAACTGAACAAATATGAATTTTGGATATTTATGGAACAAGGAGTTACCAAGTGGACTTTCCTGGTGGAATCTAATTTGGAAACTCTGGCTGAATGGAACAGCTTTTGAAGGGCATTGGAATGTCTAATAGAAGTGAGCCAGGAGTAACTCTGAGCATGTTCTTATAATGCTACAGGTAAGCCAGAAGTGCAGTGCAGAGTGGGAAACAAGTCGTAAAGGTGTATCATTTATTTAATGCATATGTGCTTTTTTAGTTCAATGTATTAGTTGCCTATCAAGTAATATTTTGATTTGATATTGTTTTTAGTTTGAATAAAATAAAAGTCTCAATGTGAAATCTTGTCACTTGATTATTTCTGTCAGTCGTTTGGGAGTTTTTTTATTAGATTCTATGGGGATCGTAACAAGGAAAGAAAAGCAAAAGCTGAGTGGTTTTGTTCTCCTACAGCAGCAGTTCTAAGTCAATTGTACAGTAATCTTGTATTGACAGATGTCTCTGTTTTGCTGTGTAGGAATTAAATAATTTACATAAATCTGTTTAAAGACTCATTGAGCAATGTGAATATCACCAAACAAGGTAGAGGAACGTAAGTGCTGATCCAGATACAGAGAATTTATAAGGATTTGAGGGTCACTAAAAATTAAAATCTTTTCAATGGTGGTCACAGCAAACTCTATCTCAATTTACTTCCGCCTAAAGCTGCGAATTGCCATTGAGAAATTGCCTGTTTTACAATGTATGATTTTTAAAGTGCTTGTGGGAAATTCTAAGAATCAGAGAATTTTAAAGTTAGGTCACTTAGGAAGGGAAAAGGGAAATCTGGTTCTCCCCTGAAACTGAAAATTTGAGCTTTCAAGGCTGAGATTGACACATTTTTTTTTTTTGTTGGGAAAAACTGCCACAATGTATGATAAGGCAGGTAGTTGAAGCTGAGGTACAGATCACAATTATCTAATTAATAGCAATTGAGTTTAAGGAATAGGAACTCTTACAAGAGTTACACCAGTTTAGTACCTCAAACTTTTTCTTTCTTTCAGTTAGTTCATAGTTGACCTGTGGCTTAACCCTATTTGCTTTTGTCTGATATTCTTGATGCCTTTGGTTATCAAATCTATTGATCTTCAATTTAAAATAAAATGTTGATCAACATCAATTGCCAGTTGTGGAAGAGAATTCCAAAATTCTACAATTCTTTGCATATAGAAATTTTCCTCCTGACAGTCTAAAATATAGGGTCGGATCATAGTCCCCCATCCTAGAATTCCCAAATAGTGAAAATAGTTTCTTCAAATCTGTGTTCCATTTTTCAAAATACCTTGAAACCTTCGATCAAATCAGGTTTTAAACTTCTAAATTCTGAAGAATGCATGATGTGCTATTTCTCAATTTAACCCTTGGAAGTTCTAGGATAATTCTAGTAGATCTGCTTTTCACTCCCTCTAAAACAACATTATACATCTTAGGGTGGTGCTTAGTAGTGCTTTGGGTATGATCTAATGAGGGTTTTGTATTGTTGAAGCACAAATTTTGTCCCTTCATGGTGTAGTTTTTAGAAAAAAGGCTGACAATTGCGAAACCTTTTGCGTTCCCATTTCGTAGGGGTGACCCATACCTGCTTACATTGACACAGCCCATGTTTGAAAGACACAAAATGGCTGACGAGGACTAAACAACATGGGGCAGTCTGCTCTAACATTTAAAGTGAAACTTAATAGTACCTTGGAACAGATCTACCAAGGTCATACAAAGACCCTGCATGCAGCGCCAATCTTGTAGGAGTGCACCCCCTGACTGGGAACAAAAACTCAGGCAGGCAGGATTCAGGCTAGTGGAAAACGTTTATTCAAGTAGAAATTCAGTCAATGCAGGGAGAGGGCCAAAGATTTGTCCCTGAATTGGAAGGGAGATCAATGACACACTCTGCTTTTACAAAGAAATACAGCATTTTTATACACTTTATATTACAAGAATGAAATATAGTATAGTCACTGTCCTTCCCCCTCAATCCATACACCCAATCCTGTGAGACACCTGATCAATGATGGGCATCCCTATGAACAGCCCCCAAATTCCCATGGTCTTATGGTATTTACCAGACATTGTAATCGCTAGGCCTTGGGATCTTTCTATGCATCCTATTGATTTGCAATCCAAAAAGTTTACTGGCTACACTCCCTTGGATCTGTCTCAGGCTTCTTATCTCTA